GTCCGGGAGAAAGTTTCATTAACGAGACCCTAAGGTCGTCCTTATCGAATCGCCTTAAGGTGATGTGAGACACCGAAGAGGTCTTGTTTATGAAACTTTTCTCCCAAAGGGATTTACCGAATGGTTTGAATCTTCACAAGGTGAATAGGGAGGCTATAAGGGAGGTCCTGAAACTCATGAAATTTCAATTCTTTTCAACTATCTTTATGGGAATTTAAAAAATGGTTTATACGAAAGTGAGATATGTCGAGTTTCAGGACCTGCCTTAGAGTCTCCATATTCACGATTTAAAGTATGAAACGAGACACAAGGTTCGTTATATAATTTTATGAACGATCGAGCTGAAATTATTCGGTACACCCAATTAGGAGGGAAGTTTCATAAACGAAGCCTCTCCGACGGCACTTTGACATCCCCTTAATGGGGAGACCTCCCGGCGCACCCGGTCGAGTTCATTGGTCGGATTTTCATCGGCTCGCCTCGACCTGGAACACCTGGGGAAAGAGTGGCCCTCGTAGGTCGTCCCATCGAGCCCCGTATCGGAAATCTGCCCGGTGTCGTCCTCGACCGGCCGATTCCGTCCGCTCCTCGAGCGGATGCGTCTCGTCCGGGAGACGAGGAGCCGCGTAAGGCCGTAAGGGGAGACGCGGTCGTCTCGTTTACTCGAAACACACCGCGCATTCGGCTCGTGTGTCCTTCCTGTAACCGACCGATACAGGTGTACGGTGTCTTCGACACCGGACTCGTGGGGCCCCAACCTATCCTCGCCGCGAAAAATCCTCCTCTACAAATCGCAACACGTGCTCCGCGTCGAATTATCGTCGGTGCGAAATCACCCCGTGGACCCGAAATCTCAGGTTCACGCCGCGCCCAATTTCGTGAGATCTCGCGAGAAAAGTAATACCCCAATGCGCTCCGACACACCTTACCGTCGCTAATTAAAAATTCAATTTAATTGACAAACATCAGTTAACCGAGTGGTGCAGATATATCCAACGGATACGTTGCACAAGGTTACGACATCGCTTCCAACGGAACTCCTTACCCCTTGAGTGCTATGGGCGCACATATGCGTCCGACGTTTGGTCGAACATCGCTAGCACGCCCAGACGAAATTCGCCCATACGCCGAAAGTACTTAGCGCCGAAAGGGTTAAGGACTCTATTAATACGGTCAAACTTTCCCCGGGCAAAAAAATCCCCAATTCCATTTCGCTCGCCAACTGGCGTCCGATCATCCACCCCCGAGAATAAAAAATCCATAGGGGGGGAAAACCGGTCAAAATGGCGCTCCCTCCATCGAAATCGGAATTTCCGCCAAACGGAGGCATCGGCCAATAACTTCGTCAAATCAGCCCTTCCTTTCCGGTCGTCCGGGGCCGATGCAACCCTTTCCCGAAATCCGGAGCCCCGGAGGGTGTGTATCGCCGGGTCTTGCCCGTGAAGAAAGGGCCGCGGGGGGGAAGGGGGAGCGTTCAGTCCGGGCCGCGGCGTCGGCGTCGGCGGATCGATGGGGCAAGGACGACACCCCGAACTTCCTGGAGGAAGAAGCGCCGAGGCCCCGCGGCCGGCGGCGGCGGCGGCCGCCTCCCCCGGGGGCGCGGGGCGTCGCGGCGCCGACGCCGCGATTTAAGCCGCGGCGGCGCGCAGGGTGGCGAGGGGTTGGAGGGGGGGGGGGAGGGATAATAACGACCCCGACGTCGCAGTGCTGCAGAAAGGTTGACGACCTGACGCGAGGCGACGCCCTCCCCCCACCCCGGGCGGCGGCGCCGCAACGCGTCGCGGCGGGCGCCCCCACCCGACTGGCCGCCGCTCGGCTCCCCTCCCAGCCGCGCCGCCGGCCGGCCGGCCGGCGCGAGCCGAGCGCGCCCGAGCTCGGCCGAGTACGCCCGACGCGGCCGTCTAGCCAGGGTCGGGGTCGTTGAACGTCGATAAAGATTTCGACTCGACAATGCTGCAGGAGAGCAGGAGGCGCCGCGACGGCCGCCGCCGCCGCTGCACCGCCACCGCGCCGACCTGCACCGCCGGCCGCCCTTCCCCCCCCCCTCCCCTCTTTCCACCATGCGCAGGCGCCGCACCTGATGGACCATCGATACTCCCCGCCGCGGTTTACCTGGACGAGCGGGGGCACCGCCGCCGGCCGGGCCGGCCCTGTCCACGTCGGGGGAAAAGGTCGAGCCGCGTTATGCGATTATTGCCGGGATTTCGCGGGGATAAACCGGAAAGGAGAGTTTCGGGACGGCCGAGAAAATCCCCCCCTCCCCCTCCCCCCGCGCGCGAAATCGAACTCTCGGTACACCCTTGGAATTGGGGAAAACTTTTCCGGTTTACGATAATCGATTTTCGGTTCTATCGCAGATATCGAGTATAAGATCCTGTCGGATTTAAAACGCTCGGAGGGAAGGTAATAATTGTATGTCATGGACGTGCTCTTTTTAGCTCGCAGGGAGATATCGCAATTACCGATTTTAATCCCCGGTGCGAGTGACCGTATCCTGGTTTGTAATGCGTTTTTTTTTTAAGCGTGGCGTCTGAAATCCCGGGGAGGGTTTTTGACGAATTCGTATTTTGGCCTCGGTCGCGGCCGGCTCGGAACGATCTGCGCAGACGGTCAGACGCCGCTCCGGATATCGACGACGACCGGCCGCGAAAATCCGCCTCGGACTTCCCGGGAAAGTATCGAGATTTTCGAGGAACCGAGTCCCTCCCCGAGCGGACGTGCACCAGTTACCTGGGGACGTAACTCCCGTGCCACCGCACTATAAGTAGACACGGTCCCCGAGACTTGGCCCGAGGACGCCTATAACCTCTAACACCGGCCGATACTCTCCCCAAGAATAATTCCTCCCCCCATCTCTTAATTCCCACGAATACAAAGATATTTGTTCCCTCGACTTTCCTCTCCGCCGTAATTCCTGCTACGATACTTTCCCCGATCGACCCGCAACGCTTCGAGACGCCTACGCGAAGTTTCCAGACGGTTCCGGGAATTAACCTCGGAAAAGAAAAAGAAAGAAAAAAAAAAAAAGAAAAACGCCGTGAAACTGCAACGTCGGTAACCTCTCCGAGGTAGGGTGCCTCCTCTCCCCGTTGCCGGAATACGCGACGTAAGACCGCGCGAGGTCGCGTAAGGACGTGAAGTTGCTCGAACCCGGGCAGGGGGTGGGGGGTAGGAGGATAGAGGGGGAGGGGTGCGTAGGACCGCGTAAGGTCGTTATAAGGGTAGGGTATGTGCTCGGTCTGGGCGGACCCCCCGCCGCGCGGCGGTTCTCGCGACGCCTATTTACCGCACAGCATCGCCGACGTGAAATCTTTACCCGACGTTCAATGACCTCTGACCCTGGCAAGACGCTCGACCCCTTCCCCCCCTCCTACTCCCGGCCGGGGAGGCGACTCCATTTTTCCCAGACGAACCTAACCTTAACCCGTCACCGCGCGAGCCGGCGCGCCGCGTCCCGGCATCTCCTCGGATTAAGGGACCGTGGAATCGGGCGGACTCGGCCGCGTTCGGGGATCCTCGGGCCCGGCTCGGCCCGGTACCGTCGCGTCGCCTCGATTATTTCGCCGAGGTGTCGCGGCCCGCCCGACAAAGGGACTTCTCCCCGGACAAAGTGGATTTTCGTTACATCCCCGAGGGATACTCCACCGCGGTCTCGGGTTCCTGGGAGATCCGATCTATCGAAAGTTTCATTTTTTCCTTTCTTTCTTTCCCTTTCCGGGGGGACGCACCCCCGAGAGCCGGATTCTTATGCTGCTTTTCGAGTCGGCAATTGACGTGGGAGAACTACTTGCCGCGCTAGTTTATTCCGATATTTTGGTAATTAATGATTTTCGGGGCCCCTGTAAATCGATGCAGGTTTTGTTAGAATTTTTGAGCAAGTATTTGTCGATTGCAGGTGATAGCCACGGTGGGGGGATACGTGAAAATTAGACGTTATACCGAGTCGAGAGCGTACCGCAATGCGGGTCCGGCCGCCATCTTGTTTTTGAGACGCGCGGACGGAGGAGCTGATAAATGTTATTTCGCGTTAAACGTCGGGCCGATTCGGAGAAACCGTGATCTCGGTAATCGGGCTTGTAACAAAAACTCGCCCTAGAATCACCTTAACGTTCGATCGGACCTTCTCCGAAGGTAATGTCGGGAAAAAAGAGAGCTGGCGTGCCTCTGCCGATTCGCACCTGCGGCGCAACTCCGTCGAAGAAAGGGCCGCGACGCACCTGCGATGCATTATCGCAGTCCCGGTCCGATTTCGACCGCAAATTGAATTCCCCGCTAAATTATTCATCCGAGAATTATTTATGTAGAATCACGTATAATTGACTGAAAACGTTGGGAATAAAAATAACTCGCCCCTCGAAATATACGTCTAACGATAAGGATAACTTCCTTATGAAATAATCCATCGACGGTTATGTTACGTCCATTCGGGACTGTCAGTCATCCCCATTGTACGGAGCGGCAACAGTGCATCGCCTTCTGTCTCTTTTCTTGCATTTGCGCATACCTCCCGTAGCCGTGCATTGTGCGAGTACGCATGCGCAGTCGGGGACTACGACACGAGAGGAAGGATTTGCCACTCCCTAGCTCGTATCCTCCAGCTCTATCTTCGAATCTCTGGATTTTCTCCACCTCGCTAAACCTAGCGATTCACCAGAAAATCCGACAACGCTTCTGCGATACATATAATATAGCAGTCACGAAAGGGGTGAATACCTCGTACCTCCGCGTGGCAGGAGGACTTCGACCTTTAAGTTCCCTGACCCTTCGCAGCGTCCCAGAGTGGGACTTTTCGATTTTCTTTCTTTGCATTCGCTCGCTACCGGCTACTTGGACTCCACCAGTCCGTGCATTTCGACGCAGAAGGCCTACAGAAAATGATTAAGACCCTCCTCTACCCCGTGCTCCGAAAGGAATACTCGACGACCAATTTCCCTTGCTTAACGACGGTAGCGTATCTCAAAGCGATTTAATATTAATTTTATAATCAGGCCTGGAAATACCTTGCTGAAGTAACCGACGGTATGGCAGCCCTCCGAGTCGTTGATTGTCATCACATAAAATAGGAAAGGCTCGACGTCGTAGTAGAGAGTCTTGTGGTCCAGGAAGAACTTGGCCAGCAGACAGAGATTCTGGCAGTACTGCTTGTACCGCTTGCCGTCCACTTCCCAGACTCCGATCTTGTCTTTCCTGGGATGTCAAAGTACGCGGAGGTTGAAAATAAAATTATACCCAACTCTGCATTCGATTCGGCTTAACGGAAACAAGTGATCGAACCTGTACACCTCGTGTCCCGGTGGATGCCTCCATAGGCACTTGTCTCGATGCCTGCGCAAGACCTGACGACTTTTAGCATATCGTAGACAGAACTCGCAAAGGTAGAGCTTCGGAGCTCTGCTGAACTCCTCGGGGTAGGGGCTCTGGTACCAAACCTCCATCTCCCATTTGCCCATCTCGACGAATCGCGTGCCTCCGCCGTTTCTGCCTTCGCCATCGTACTCCAGCTCCCTCAGCTCCTTTTCCTGCACCAATGAGGAATATTAATTACGTAATACCTAATGAGTCGGTTTAAAATGAGTCAGATTCGCGTTAAGAACCGATGACCTACGATTTTTTCGCTAGCAATAGCCTGCGCCTCCATGAAGAGCTTGAGATCATAGTCCGGGGTGAGATTTTTCAGTCTAGGCTGCCGGTCCTTCTCGATCCCCTGGGGTTCCCCTCCGCTGTCGCTTTCGTTGCTATCACCATCGGCGCCTTTCCATTTGCTTCTCAGCTCCTTCACCTTCAGCTGATAGTTCCGCTGCTCGTTGGTCTGATGCAGCCCCTTCGGCGACTTTTTCCCCAGATTCGCGATGGCCTTTTTCCGCTCCTCCTCCCGCTTCTTTCTCTCCTTGTGAAACTCCCTGGAGAAGCGAGTGGTAATTCGGAATTAGCCTTCTATTGATACAGAGAGAAAGTACTGAAATTTAGCCGACTTACCCGCAGGCTTGAGGAGTGGTGTTGTGATAGAGAGGACAAGCCTCCAGGGTGAAGTGGCTGTCGAATCTTCCGGAGAGGTGTCCGCTGGAGTCGCAGGACGCGGCCAGGGGACATTCTCGCTCCTTCGTCGCGGTCCTGTTCCTGTTGTACGTTCCCTGGGTACTCCTGGTCCCGGCAACGGGAGCGACGCTCGTTCCAGCTTGGCCAGTCCTGGGGATCGCCGAAGAGTGCCTCACGCTGGTCGTGGGTCCGGTTCGTTTCACCGGGGACTTGCTGGCGCTCCTTTTACCTTCGGCTGCTCCCGACAAATCACACCGCATCAGGGGAATTTGCAGGGTACGCTTACAGGCTACCGTTTCCGTACCTGAGAACCATACTGCCGCCGTAAGCAAAAAGACTGTATCTGCATCCTAGGACACCTTGGACATGCTTTCGCTCTATCACTTATGATAATATCCCATCGACCAGTGGTATCCTACGCGCCAGGACTGGTTACGTATATGTCCAATCCATCCGTCCAGAACCGCAAATACTGCGTTTTTGTGTTATGGGGGCAGCATTGGGTCCTACATCCACTTCCTCCATACTTCTCTCTTCTAGCACCCAGTGCTGCTTACAGGCAGCCCGATTATACGTTTGCTCAAATTGAACGAGAGCTCATTTAAGAGACTCAATTTGTTCAATTGGTCCGATTTTCTATTTGACTGTGATCTTATGCAGCAGGGGATTATTTAAATTGTTAATTCTGGTCGGATAAATTGATTCTGACTGCACAATTAGTTATTATTATATTCAACCTACGGAACGGTAAGGAGTTTATATACGACACCTTTAGTTTGTTAGCACTCGCTGTCACAGAATTGATTATTTCAACTTTAATCTTTGGTTGTTATTTCGCAATACCTACATTATTTTTAGAGAGGGTCTACTTGGTCAATGGAGATCGATAATGGGGATGAACTATTATAGGACTCCTGGGATAAATTAACTGGGAGGAATATAATGACTTGATCGTACCTGTGTCCGACTCGGAATCACTGCCCAGCTTTGCCTGCATTTGCAAATGCTTGCTGCCTTTACGAGGCTGCAGTTTTCGCTTCCCCTTTGCAGCCACTTTCGATGATCCGCTTTCTCCATTATCGTCCAACTCCTTGTCACTGTCCGATGCATCACCTTCGTCGTCAGTTTTTACAGCTCCTGTTAAAAGCTAGTTATTAGTAGTGGATAATTCATTCACTATTTTACACTTTATTTTACACGCATTGAAAAGTGGAGAATTATCAAAATAACTTTAACAACAAACCTTGGCGTTTAGCATTTTTCTGTTGTTTAACAGCTACCACTGCAGCCGAGGGTCTTTTTGCTAGTACGCTAGTGGAACTTGTAGTTTGTGGTTCTTTCTTTTTTGTTTGGGGCTGAGGACTCGTAACACTCTCCGATGATTCTGAGTCGGAACTACTGTCGGATGAGCCAGACGAGGCCGAGCCACCAGATCCTCCGGAACAACTTTTTGAACTTGCTGAACTATCTGACTTTTGAGGTTGTGGTTTTGTAACCAAACCTAATGTAACAATCATCATTAGTCACTAAATGATTATATTTATAATTATTTACGACTATGAAAGGATTATTTTCAAATTTTACTCACTTGGCCTATTTACAACAGAGGGTCGTGGTTTGATCTCGCTAGGCTTTGATTTCGTTTGTGGAGGTTTAGGACATTTTAAAGGACTACTAGTTGCCTTAATAACACTGGCTTTCGACGGAGCAGCAGTGTCGCTTTCGCTACTATTCTCGGGACTAAATATACTTTTCTGCTTTAATTTCTTTTGAAGTGGTTCTGAGATAACCTTTGTGGTCCTTTCCTTAGTTTTACTATTTGCAACAATGCTACCTGCAATTAATGGATATATTAAACAAAATAGGGTAATTAATTGGGTTCGTTTGGTTTTCTATGAATCGAAATTTCTTCAATTTTTATGTAAGTTTCTTGATAACTTACTAGGTATCTTACTTGACTTATTAATAACTGGCTTCGTGCTCGAAGCACTTTTATGTGGAACGGTAGCGGGTATGGGCTTGCTAACGGGTCGCTGTGCCTTGATAACCGGTGCAACCGTAGCAGTGGCTTTGGGTTTAGCAGGAGGTTTCCGTTTGACAGGTTTTAATTTGTTTGGTGCTTCCTCGGACTCGGAAGAGTAAGAGACAGGCTTAGGTTTCTGCGGAGGCCTTTCTTTGCTTTTGCTTTCCAGCGGCGGGCCCGTGTTCGCTTCACCTTTCGATTTAACATGACGTACGGGAGGGAACGAGGTTTTCTTCTTGGCTCTCTCCGAATCAGAGACCTTTTGACTATTGGCTGAACTACTAGAGTTTTCTGAATCCGAGGAGCTGGACTCACTGCCAGAACTCGAGGATGTACTAGATGACGACCCCGAAGTACTGGTTGACGTTGACTCCGAGCTCGTAGTCTGTAACAAAATTCTCATTGTATTATATCCAACACTCTAAATTTCCTTATTTTTCATACTAAATTACATAGATAGCCCTACCATCTTGTCAACTCATTAATGAGAAATGTAAATCCAACTTACCATTACCGACAATTATTAATGTGTTGATAGCTAACCTAACTTTATAAAATCAAATGTATTTACCTTTCGTTTCGGAGTCATGTTTGTCGTGCTACCTCTTTGCCGTATTTAAAACTGTATTAATTGCCATTTTCTGATGACTACGTCTACTTAACGTCCACTTGTGAATAAAACTTGACTATTTACAGAGAATCATTAAACAAAACCGACGATGCTGTCCAACCATGCCCGATGACTTCGGACATCCATAGAACACATTGAGAACCCGAGGCAGGAAACTCCATTCGCGAGATGTGAACTCAGTGCTGCCCCCAACAGTTCCCCGGTAGAACTAAGTATACATTACCATATAGTGCACACGAGTCACTGAAATTTTCTACGATACGCATTTACGATTAAGAGTGCACATCGCGCTTCGTAATGACACACTCCAAAAGAAATCTGTTTTATAAGAAAAATGCTATAGGGGGAGTAACAGTTTTGTATGAAAATCACCGTTTTATAGCGTACGGTGACAACTCCAATCTCAGTCGGCTTTGACTTTTTGTACATGGACAATTTTGTAAAATGAGGGAGTTTATTCTGGATTGTCTTGTCTTCAAGATAAATTAATTTCTCGTGTTACAGAGCTATATCGACCCGTTTGTCTAGGACCTTGGTTCTTTCTGGACCGCAGGATTTGATCACTTAATGGGACTTCCAGAATAGCCGGACTGTCAGCTATTTTGGATTCGACCTCGGATCAAAAGAGCCCCAGAGTCCGTTACTTTCTTCGATCGATGGATTTCGATTATGCCGAGGCTAACCCCTGCATAAATGGCGGCTTCCACCCCCGCGAAGCTCGCGTGTTGACATTCGCTAGGGGAAACTCTTTTGGCCGCCGTGCACGCGTAGGGACGCCCAAGACGTTCCAGTTCTCCTCGCAGGTGGAAAATGTGAACAGAAGACGGAGCGAAGAATCTTCGATCATTCGTTGGGTGCAAGGATCGGGAAGAGAGAGAAGGAAGGAAAAGAAGAAAACTAAGATGTCCACCCCCGAGGAGGCTAGGGACGCCCCAAGAAACGCCGAAGAGGACCTCAAGATCTTCGAGACTCTTTGCATCTCGCCCCCTCAGGTTTCCGGAAGAGTTCCTTTGTGAAAACTTGCACCTCCACGTGGCCTTTCTTTTTTTTCTGCACATCACCACGCAACCTGGACCTCGACCACGTGTTTCACCCGTCACAGGCCTTCACGCTTTACCGACGTTTTTCGAGAAATTCTCCCCGAGTCTTCGAAACGGTTCAACGGCTTATCACTGCACACTCCGGAGAAGCTGAATTTAATTTTGAGCTTTCGTCGTTTAGCGGAATGTTGTACAATTAGTTGTAAAAATATTTGGAAGACATTTTCCTTACCTGAGCTTGGTCGGGCATTTTTTATTTCAAGGTGTACGCGTAGAATAAAAATTCCTGGGCATTAACACTGCGGCATTTCCATAATTCTACCTGCACCATTGTGACCGTTAATGTACTTAGTAAATAAGTTTTAATTAGGGGGGATTAAAATGATGCTTATTAAGGAGTCCTTTTAGTTTTTAAGAGCTTTATGGGAGACGTAGGAATATCGTGTGTGGGGGTGTCTGGGGATTATTTTTCAATTTCGGTCATTTTACTCGTTTTAATATTTTATCTTAAGGGGAGAGGAACAAGCCGAGCGGTAAATAGCCTTAATTCGACTCGTCCCGAGGTGTTGCTCGGGGAATCACAGAAGTTATCGACCTGTAGGAGAACAGGGGTGTGTTGCCATAGCGTTGCATAGGATCGATTTCACCTGTTCCCCATACCTGTCGCGTCGACTTTGGCCTTCATAAGTCCAGGAGAAGATTATCCCGTCAATAATAATTCCCTTTCCTTCTCCAAACCACTGTCCACTCATTCGTGATAACCCAGTGATAATGCATCTACTCCACTCTGACTAATCGTTTCGACATGGCTTTACCTCCGCAATTGATATAAAGAGGATTCATAAATATCTGACGAATAATTTCTGTCTTTATGACATTTTTATCCACCAATTCCTATATTGTAAAACATTAACTCCAGCCCTTGCCAATATGGAGTTACCTGGTTTTCATCTTATCTTCTAGTTTTTTCCAAAAATCCCTGAAAATCACCACTTGCCGCTCTTTACCTTTACCTTCTCTACCTTCGTTAAATTGTTACCTAGCGGCGATCAAACTATACTTTGGCAACTTAGAATGGAATCGGAGCAGCTCTCTTCATGGATTTCCGATATCGTCAGATTCTAGAGAGCCGAGGGTAGCAACCCCGACTTCGCCAAGACATCGGAAAGGGAGGACTTATTTACAATTTGGCCAGACTGGGTTTCCGTTCCGAGCACGATTCGAGTCACGGAAGCTTCGGAATATATACCGCAAACGAGAAATTCGTGCCGGTCGCCATTTGTCGGATTCAGTCCGAACCAGGTCGGAAAGGTTCGAAGGACACTCCTTCGGATGGGGAATAAAACCGGCGTTTAAGGGTATTTTTGGAGGATTAAGTGCTTCGATACAGAGCCTCGTGTCGGAAAGGTCGACCGATTAGTTGATAATCGATCCTGATAGTCACGTGCGAGTCTGACGTTTCCTTCGCGTCGGAAGAAAGAAGGTGGAGGTCGGGAACCTTAAATGTGGTGAACGGGTTCAACTCTGCTTCTGGTTTGCGGGTTTGTCGGCAATTTTCCAATTACAGTTTCCAAGTTATTCCGAGGAACATGCTTTTCTGCGAGCTTAACCGAGGTAAGCAACAGGGCACCTCTTTACCTTCTTACATCCATCATTTAGTAATTTTAGTGTAACTATATTTACCAAAAATGTGGGGGAATTTAATAAGACCCTTTGACGGCGCGGAATTAGGATCTTGAGGGTTAATTACGTTAGATAGGGATGAACAATTTTTATTTCGCTGTGTATAAAAATCAGGGTCTAGATATTAGCAGGGTATATTTCTTCAATTTCTTTGATCAGGAAATTTTAGGCTTTTTAATTTGAATTTCGGTTCCCAGACGGAGACGGATGATGCGATGGCCCACGACGTGACGACCACATTGAGAAGCGAATTGGCTGTGCTGGAATACAAACGCGACAAACTTCTGTCGGATGTGAGTTCTAAGGTGGTGTTGAGGTGGTGGACAGCCCAAAATTTAAATGCCTTTTTTATTTTTATTTTTTTCTATCAGCTGCAAGAGATGAAATCCGCAGTCAGATCGCGGGACCAAAGGGTCACGGAGCTGCAGATGGAAGCAGACCAACTGAGGGAACAATCGGCTCGGCAGAATGCAGTCATATTGAGTCTGAAGAAGAGGATCCAAGTTGGTTCCCGACTGATGAATATAAATACTCAGGTCCGAGGAGAGTCGAGAAATCTTACGTCTCTTTTAGGAGCTGGAAGACAGGGAGAGAAATTTGTACGCCACTCAGGGCAGGTGCGAAATTACTATTCAAGGCTTGCAGAGGGACGTAAAGTACCATGAGGACAAGGTCAGGGAGTACGACAAGAAAATTCGACAACTGGAGCACAACCTGGCTGGTGAGATTCAGCTGAAAGAGAGGGCCAGGCTGAATTTGCAGGTGCATCGTATACGTGTTTTAATTTTTATAAAAAAATTATTTCCCCCTCCAGTCTATTCTTCAGGAGATCTTTATTTCTTCGGAAGTTAGGGTTTTGAACTCGAAGCGAAAGATGTGTTTCTCCCTTTTTTAGGATTTCGTCCGCAGGCTGGCCCACGCTCTTGGGGCAGAATTTTGCGAGAGCACTCATCACACGCCTGACGTCGTCATCCACAAAGCCGAAGAACTGGTCCAGGAAGTGAATCGACTTAGAACGAAATGTACAAACATGGAAACGCACCTCGCAGGGCTCGAAGCTGATTTTCGAAGTTGCCGAGACACCTTGGATCGCGTCGGGGCAGAAAAGGAGCAACTGCAGAGACAAGTCACGACAGACTTGGTGGACCTCGATCGACTTCGTCAGGTGAATTTTGAAAAACACTTTTGGGTGATAATGAATTATATTTTTTCTTCACAGAAATCAGAAAGAGTTGCCTTTATTTCCTCATTTTACGGATGTGTAGGAGTACTTTCTTATTGGATCTCGCAATTATCGGCGACTTGTGCAGGGATTATCGTTTGCAGCTATTCAGGGTAATCGGGACTTGTCCCATTTAGAAACGGAAATCGTTATATCGATCAGTCGTAAAACTTTCGATTTAATAAACCATTTGGGTCAGAGGTATTATATGCGCGATGTTTCATGAGCCGCAATCGGCCGGAGCCGTTTTTCGGATGCGGAAATCTCAGTTGCAGTTGCACCTCGATTGGTCTCGTGTAGTCATCATGTGCAGCCTGCCTTGCAGATACAAACCGTTTTGTAGCATTTGCGCGGTAAAAATGTTCTTAATATCTTTATTATCTCAGGTTCTCATTATGTCCCTCTTTCAATGGAAAATATGTCCGCCAAAGAGACAGACACTGGTCTAGGAAATTTTTCTTCCCTTGAGAAAAAATTGAGAATTTCATTCTTGATATTTAGATGGGGCTAAAAATGTAATTTTTGTCCCCAGGAGAAAGAATGCCTCGAAATGCAATGCAGAGTCGCGGAAAGAGAGGTGAACGAGCTTCGCGACAAGTTGGTAAACGCAAATAGGAGTATAACAAACGCCACGAGCAATATCTCTAACCAAGAGGCTCTGATTTGTCAATTAAGAGGTGAATTTTCCGATTCTGCTGGAAATTCCGTATAGCAATGTTGGAATAATCGATGTCGATTTATACCTGCAGAGGAGTTGAAGTGCAAGGAGGAAAAAGTGCAACGCACCCACAATGAGAATCGGCACATTTTGGAGTCTCTGGCGATTCTTCTCAGCAGTCCTAACAGGTTCGTCGAGTCCTGCGAAAACGCGATCAAGGATCGAATCAGGGAGCTCCTGAACGACAACAAGGACCAATGCCTGGTAAGAATCATTCTCCAGGAGGATAAAAAAATCTCCCTGGAGATTAATCTCCGATTTTCTCCGACATTCCCAGAAAATCCAAGGACTGAGAGAGAAGGTGAATTGTGCAACCGATACTGCCAATCGACAGACGGAATTGACCGATGCGACCATGTCGAAAATTCGCTGCCTCGAGGACGAGAGATCCGTTCTGGAAACGAAACTTCACAAACTGGAATCCGAATTGACCAGTTGCGAGCTTTCCAGGGAAAATCTGCGGCGAGACAAGCAATCGGTAGGCAAGAAACATTTCATCTACATTTCGTACATAGTTCCTGAAAATCGAAATGAGAGTACAAAGGGTCGCAGGATCTCTCTGCGAAATCGGTATATCTTCAAGAAATCGGACTTTTAAAATGAGCGACGAAATTAGAATATGCGCAGATATGCTTTTTCATAATTTCAGTGATTTAGTGGATTGTCTGGATTTTTTTTTACAGTTCCTTTCGTTCATGGAGCGTCTTGGTAAGACCATGCAAATGGACGAGATTTCGCAAGATGTCGGATTGGATTTGCAAATGGACTCGTTGCTGGTTCGTGCCGAGCAATTGGCCCGTCTCGAGACGGATAAATTAGTGGACAAGGTGAGAAGCGATTAGGAGGTGTCATTGCTCGATTTGCTTGCCGACGAGAGTCGATGTTAACGTTGACGTTTGTGTCTTGTTGTCGTGCACTTGTCACGCAGCTAATGTGCTGCAACTACACGACGTTTCCCAGGATTCGACGGGAGAGGTCGTTCAACGAGCTTCCTTGCCTAAAAGAAGTAAGCTCTAAGCACTGAGAAAAAAAAGGAACCCTCGCAAACTAGAGCTTAGAGATGCACTTTTTAATGCAGGTCTTAAGAGTCCGATATTCCGCACTTTTCACGACAATTTCGATCGAAATGCACGAAGCTTCGCTGCAGCTTTCGAGCTCGCCTTGTGAATTTTTTCTCCATGTTATTATGTTCTAAATTCAAAAAAAAAAATATCATAAACTAAAATCAAAAGGGAATATGACATTTGGAATTTTTTGTAAAAAGTTCACAAGTCGAGTTGAAGGAAGCTTATATTAAGTTTATTCAATTGCTGAAGGTAGGAGTAAAATGATTTGTATTTTTCTATGCGGATTATTCGTTATTTTTATTATCCAACAAGTGCAAGTACGGAGCAGATGGTCGTCGCTATCGTTCAATGGAATAATGCGTTTGATTAAATTATTTAGCAGGGTCGTTTGAATTCTTCCTTTTATAATTTTCATTTATCGCTTGCGATGTGCGGAAACGTCGGTAAATTATTAAATTATTAATTCGGCATTAACAGGCGTGTCTATATTTTTCCCTAGACTTCAGTGGTTTATCAACTTCAAAGGCGGGTTAGAACCCTCCGAGAACAGTTGCAACGTAGGGATCTTCATCTGGACCTGCTGCGCAGGAAATTGTCTCTTCAGGAAGATAGCGTCCGGATGAAATCAATTTTACAGTCCGAAAGGGACGAGGCGAACCTTCGGTAATAATTATGATACTTACGCCTCGTATAATATTTATAAATAGGAAATAATAACAGGATTTGATTTTCCAATCCCAATCGCTGCAGGGTGAAGAAACTGATGAAGCAGCTGGACCGCCTGCAGTTGCAACTGAACGACGAAAAGGCGAGAAATCGAGAACTCAGTGCCCAGCTGGCCGAAGCGGCGGATTACAAAGTACATTGTGCAGTCCCCGAATGATTAAAAAATTATTAACAAACGTTTCAATAATTAATTTCATTAATATCTCAGATCGCAGCGCTGGAGCGCAGCAGGAAAATCGAGGAGCTGCAGAAGCGACTGGTGGAGAGCGAGATGTTGAGGACCCGGTACAACAGAAAGTTGACCATGTTAAAAGACCAAGTGCGAACCACGTCGGAAACCGCTGAGCAGGAAAGGTCTATCAACGATCATTCCTTGCAGCTGCTAAGAGACGAACTCGCGCAAGTGAAGCAAAACTTGTCCGAAGTCAACAGGAGAGAGTCTCAGGTGATCCTTCGTCCCTTCAGGGCTCCGGATGTTGAACAAACGTGTCCTAAAAATTCTTATTTTTTGCAGCTGCAAAGCTTCCGGGTCTCCGTGGCGAAGCTGCTCTCGGAGCCGATTTGCTCGCCGGATTATGAGATCATTTCAAGGCTTCAAAAATTGGTGTCTGCACACCGCGACTTCACGATGCTCTCCAGGAGATACGACGAGCCCTTAGAGACGAGTCCTTCAAGATGCACCAGGTAAATTGAAATTAAATTCTCAAGTACTAAAAACATCCATTGTCACGTTATTCTTCTATTTTCAATCCTAAAGTTCGTAAAAAAAATATCCAGCTTAAGGAGATGCTCGGAATTAAAAGGACGTCTCATCCCTTTAATATGAATTCAATAAAAAATTAGCTCTCCGATTTTATTAATGTTAAAAAATGTACTCTAAGTCCCTCTGGTTTTAATTCCCCGCGATTGAATGGAGTTATTAGTGTCGGTCATTTTTAGTATCCATCCAACGCATCCTCCGAGATCGCCAGGATCGAGATGCACGAGATACGANGTTAAAAAATGTACTCTAAGTCCCTCTGGTTTTAATTCCCCGCGATTGAATGGAGTTATTAGTGTCGGTCATTTTTAGTATCCATCCAACGCATCCTCCGAGATCGCCAGGATCGAGATGCACGAGATACGACGATAGCGGGTTCACGGATCCTCCGGATCTCCAGGACATGGACGACGACTACACGAAGAGGCCAGTCAGGAGTAGCCTACTTCCGTGACACCGGACAAAATTTAAGTTTTAAGAGTATCCAAAAATCGACACTTGCCGATTGTCCTTCCAGGACGAGCCTTTCCGTGGGTCTTCCCGTCCACGAATAACTATAATTTAATTATATCTTGTACATATCTCGTTCACCGTAAAGCGCGCCGTTTACAGTCTCGTAAACGGGTGCCTTATACAGGGAACCGAAAGTGTTCAGCTTTTCTGCCGTGTAAATAAATCATGCTTTCCTCCGCCATCTTATTTCGGAAAAATTTTTATTCTCTAATTTAACAATCCGTTAAACATAACCGGGATTTAAATGAGGGGTCTGCAAATTGAATGTCAATTAACGAGGTTAATTGGCTGAATCTGTATTTCAGGATTTAGGTCGACACGTGGTCTCAGGGCCTTTTTCGTTAGGGGTTCGAAAAATCGTAACCCGCGACTTCCGGTTCGATTTCGCTCAGGATCGCGATCCATGCGAATCTGGATCTATTATCTCAACAGCGTGACAAGGCTGTGGGCAGTCTGCTAATGTGCCAAGGGACGGATGTGACGTAATCTGAGGTCACCCACGTAAACGTCATGTCAGCCGTCGTTTCGACGCTCCTCTCCTCGTTGGACCATTGGTGCAATTCAAGCGCACGCAACAGGTGCATCGATTTTTATTAACGATGAACCACCCCACGTGGACAATTGATCAGAACTACGGATTTAATTAATCACGACAACGATGATCATTTCAAGTCGATAAATAATTTTCCTCTGGAATGGGATCGTCGAGCGTGAATTTTAATTCAGGTAATTAAGTCTGGTGGGTTGTTAATCACGAGGTAAATTTCTTTAGGTTAAGACTTGTTTTAACTTTTTTCAGGACTTGTCGGACGCGTAAGTCGACGAAGTGCGATCGAGAAGACGGCGGAAGGCGACGCGATATGGTACGTTTGATTGGGAGCAATTAGCAATATGCAAGAGAGGCTTGACACTTGCAAAACACATACGCGAATGTGCAGAACCGGAAGATGATGTCTTTGTTAAGCGTGACAGGCGAGTCGTGATTGGCGTAGGTGGACTAGGAATAAACGATCACTTAGAGATCGACTCGTAGACGTGGAAGATCCGCTGACGGCATGTTCCGCCATTTGTTTGCTAATAATCTCGATCGAGATTTAAAACGCAATTACGCCGGACATGGCTGCATCCGGAAGTCAAACTCAATTACCATCCCGTCCACGTCTTCGGGCGACACGGACGAAATTGAAATACGAAATCTGCCCGACCTCGTAACAACTGTAATTAAAAGTTCACGTAGAATTAAGCGCCCTGAAAAATCCCGAGTGATGGTTAAAAAAAATTCCAGGGTGGAGGCGCAGGGAAAATCGAGCATGGCCAACAATTGGGAAGTCCCTCGAGTTGGGATCAACCCTTGTAATGTGAATTCTGCCGAAAAACCTCGCCCTGCATACGAAACTCAGGACCTCACCAAGTGACACCGCCAACATCGGAACCGTTCCCCTCCCAGAATCGGCTTTTTCTCCCTCTCCCCCTTCTAGATCGCGGCATGTCTCTCTCTCTTAACCTCGTGTATCCGCCAGCAGATCAGAGCCGCAATTGCCCGGTCATCTCTGCACCGGTGACCACTCGGACAGGAGCAGTCCGTGGGAACCGTGGACCACCCTGCGACTTCGTGGATTTTTTTATCCCCCCTGTTCGGATTTTCGACGAAATTTCATCTCCCACCCCGCCCGCCCCTTCCGCGCGTTGACGCGGATCGATCAGCTGATTTCTGTCAAATCCGCCCCAGGTGGAGTGGGTCCGCCAGATCCGTCACCTGGACTTCGGGAAGGTGCTAGATCGTGTCGGTCATCTTGTCTTGGCCTGACAGCTGCCAAGGGAGGTGTCATAGATCCTTCCTCAGATCCTTCCGGCACTCTTCCTACCCTTGGAGGGAGAGAATCGATCCTGGTCGCGGTCGCGTCTCGGGATCGGGTTAAATCCTGATCTGGTGGGTCTTTTAGTGGTGTCGCTGATGTTGCCGGTGTCGATACTAGTGCGATGACAGATGTGCTCGGCTGATGTGAGGTGGTTATCAGTGGTCCATTCGACTGCCCGTGTCAAGGGATTTGGCAGGAGGGCCCTGTGATCCAACATGAAATCCGTCTTCAAGATGATCAGGAGGATAGCCTGCCTCGTCCTGATTTTCCTGTGCTGCAAAGGTGAGGTTTTTGGGGTCCTTTGACATTTATATGATTTTTATCATTCTTAGGATTATTATCATGGAGTGGGGTCTGCTCGCTGATTATCTTGGGGTGGTCGGAGAGATTTTAGCGGGTGATTTAATTTTTTTTATGGCTCACTTTTGGAGGTTTTTTTTCCCCTTTTCCTGTTCACAGCTCTGGGGCATGGCTTGCTCCTGGAAAAGGAGAAGGAACCGACTTATTTGACCGCTGGTGTTGGGGAATATGTCGTCTTTAACTGCGACCTTGACTTTCCTCATGAAATCCCAATTCCATACATCCTGTACTGGAATCGCGAGGTAAGTTCAGGGTTTTCAGCAATAATTTATTACTATACTCCCCGTCTAATGAAATGCCGAGTGCACACAATTTCACTAATTTTTTGCATCGTTTCATAATTTTTGGGTAGGGTTAAATCGCGAATGGATTTTTGTTCATCAATTGCGCAGAAACTAAGTAAAGAGGTAAGGGAGATGGTTTTACAAGATAAAATGATACACGGATCAGTCCTTATAAAATAGTAAATATACAAGAAACACGAGTCACGTGAGAACTATGCCGACCACTCGCGCTCGATCTTAGATGGTAATTCGCGTCTCTTTGCGGTTGAGGTTTTTTTTTCATTATTATTTACCCGGTATCATTTTACAGTCTTTCTTTCTCTCTCTCTTCTGGATCTTACGCAAGACTTCCAACCCTCGCCGATGTGGTGGCCGATAAAATCAATTTCTCTTCCACCGAATCGATTATCGAACGCATCGTCGACCGTGGTTTATGGTTTCACGGTCGATGATGTTAAATCAATTAGAAGATCATTTAAAAATAATTAATTTAACGTCGCGACGCACCCTGACGAACATTTAAGTCGGTCTCTTAAGGCGATGGGCACCGAGCGCTCTACATTTGCGGGACAGAAATATATCCATAATCCCAGCAAAGGGTTACAGATTACTAATCGGTTTTATTCCCTCTTCCGGGGACGATTGCAGGCCGGAAATAAAATGTAAATTCCAGAGCGGTGGCCGGGTACGAGACGACGTGGAAATTAACCTGATTGGTCCCTGATGCGTATGCAAAACAGGTGCACTCCGCTATAGTAATTGGAGTACGGGACACAAGGCTGTAGTTAGTAATGGCTTATATTTATAGTTATAGCCAGTCGCTGCCGACTAGAGGGGCACTGCCAGTTTGCCACTATCTAACGCTTTGTCAGACGATTAGGCTTTATTAACGACCTTTTTTGCCAGCCTTGTTTCGGTGGCCCAGGGACTTCGACGTCCTTAATAGTCTTGGTCGAACAGAAATTCACGAAAGCACCACAAAATTCATTCTCCAGGAAAAAGGTCGCTCGAAAATATCTGCAGGAAACAGGAATATGGTGTTTGTCAAAAATCTTGCCTTTGGATGGTAGGTGGATGGTCATCTGGTATTCCATCAGGTCGATGGTTTGGGCGGTTCCTACAGGTTCAGCCCGACACACAGGAAGCGTCTAATGTGCAGGAGCGATTACCCAATTTTCTCGCGTCTGATTCATGAATTTAACAGAATCCGTCGACCTCCTCCCGCGATTGATAGCATAAAAATGGGGCCATAAATACCCTGCTTACGCGTCTTCCATTATCCTTGCTTGGGATTGAATCGGCTAATTTTACACGTGCTGTCACCCTGGTCATCCCTTCTTCCACCGATCCACGTGGAATGGGCAAAGGTGCAAAATGGACTTCAATTGATCCATCGCAATTACGTCTCCAGCAATTCAACTTGGGATTACTGTGCGGTTTTACTCGCGAGCTTGTGTAATGATTTCATTAAAATTTCCCCCTCTTGGGGGGGGGACCTTTTCGTCATGGCGGGGGAAAATGAGGGCTAAAAAGGCTCCCGTGACCCAGAAATCTCCCTTTGGACTGGTCCATGCCATTCATCCGGGAACTTGATCGCTGGATTATCCTGGATTGCTTGAAATAGGCTTCTGCTAACTTGGACCTGATGTGGACCGATCAGCTGATCGCGTTTTGGTTCCGTCACGTGACTGGGCCCTCGATGAGGTCTCCGGGAGTTATCGCTCGTTTCTTCTCCTCTCCCTCTTCTTCGGTTATCGAGTACTTAATTGCAATTGCACTCGCTTCGTCTCCCGATTCTGGACGACGTACCGCGAAGTGCAGATCGCCACCGGATGCACGGATCTCTCAAGATGGACGAGTTGACCGAGGACCTTAACTCGACATAATTGGGAACGTCTAACGTTTCAGGGCCGGACGGTGTTCTCCTGGTACGACGGCGTGATATCAGCGGCCAACGATTACACGGGCCGCATACACTTGATCCAGGATGCGGAGGCTCGAGGTCTGGGACAGGGCAGCGTCAACCTGACCAACATCAGGGAGAGCGATCAGGGCTGGTACGAGTGCAGAGTCATTTTCCCCAACAGGACCCCCAGCTCCAGGAACAACGGGACCTGGTTCCACCTCAGCATCGATGGTAAGGACTGGGATGCTGGGAGGAAGTGGTTGGAGAAATTGGTCCAGGACCTTGGGACTGGTTCTGAATTTTTTGCCTGATCTTGGACCCCGGGGAGTGATGGCTGATCCTGGATATCGATGCTTGGTCCTGGATCCTGGGCCTTTTGGAAAATGGTGACCCCTTCACCCCTCCCTAGAAACGAACTAATTTCCCCATTGTCATTCGTCACGACCATTCGCTTCCTTTCCAGAGATTTATCCGGAACGCGGTTGCGGCGAAGCGAACGCACCTTTTCCTGGGCATGTCTAAAAAGAATTTCGCTTCAGCTGGCACAAAAGCGATTGTCGTTATTGTGCTCTGATGACAATGTAGCCCAGATCTAACGTCACTAGGTAGATCGATGTGTCCGGTTTCCGACGTGGTCACCAATGCGGAAAACTGGCCACCCATCCAGCTCCCCAACAAGGACTGATTTCCCAACTTCGCGTAATTCCTCGATTAATCGTAGATGTTTAAGAAAATCCCGCACATGAAAATCGTAAAGCCTCTTATCAACGGGAAACCGGACAGACCCGTTAAATCGTTCAACCAGGTGCGCCGCCGCCGGTTGTTTCAGGTGAGAACCTCCTGACAGTCCCACCTGTCAACAAGACTGTCATGGAAGGCGAGTCCGTCAGCTTTGACTGCACCACCAAGGAGGCCACCTCCATTGTCACCTGGTTTCGTGACGGTATCCAGATTTCGGAGCTGGAGGTAAATAAAATTACTAAAAGTTACTTAACTTGAATAGATTCGAGATTTCTGCTGGTCATTAGATATGCACAGCTGTGACTTTGAGACGCTGCGGTGATTTTGACGAACAGGTAGTTTTGACTTTATCGAAATGATTTATTTTTCTCTAGGATCTCAGGGATCGAGTCTCCGTGGCCCATGATGGGGCCTTGACCATCGATCCAACGGACATGGGCGATCTTGGAGAGTATGGATGCGTAGTGACCAACGTCCACGGGGAACACCAAAACGCCTCCGCTTTTCTTAACGTGCAATGTAAGACTCCTGCAAATTAAGGGGACACGAAATTGGTATTTCAGGAGTCGATCGTTCATGAAACTTTTCATTGAACTGGGTGGATTGATTAGTTGTCAAATTTTACCATTTTGACAACCAGGAGAAGAGCGTCGCGAGCGAGACCTTCTAGGCCCCGATTTCGTGCCACCATTTGTTCGATATATTCTGTTTCTAGTCCTGGAAATTTTCTTCTTTTAATTTCAGACAAAGCGAAGGTCATTTACGCACCTAGGGAGGTGTACCTACCGTATGGAAAGTCCTCTCTTCTCGACTGCCATTTCAGAGCCAATCCACCGCTCACGAACCTTCGATGGGAGAAAGATGGCTTCCTCTTCGACCCTTACAACGTCCAAGGGGTGTTTTACAGGAGAAACGGATCGCTTTACTTCAGCAAAGTCGACGAGACGCACTCAGGGAGTTACAGCTGCACTCCTTATAACGACCTGGGCACCGAGGGGCCGAGTCCTTCTATCAATGTAGTAAGTCCTTCAGATTTTATTTAATAACATTCAATGTCATCTTTAAACATAATTTCTTACGTTTTTAAATAAACATCCGTGTGCGAGTTCGCTAGCAAAGGGCGGATTTTATATCGCAATATTTTATATTGCAATTTTCACGTTGGATTTATTCGATCGGATTTTTAATTGCCCATGTCCATTTTGTTATTTATTTATTTTTTTTATCGCGAGAGGTGGAGGAATCGGTCGAGTCGAATGTTTCGACGTGATTATTAGGCGTGAAATTGCGAATCTACAGGATAAAGTCTATTTTAGACTCTTCTCTCAATATCACGAGCCTGATAAACGTACTCCAACGCAAGATGTGCCGTTGCCACCAACGAGACCAACGACCGTTTGACGGCTGGTATTTATGGTCTTTTATTCCTCAATTATGGTCCCATAGAGGCGTGGAGTTCCTACTTCATAATGGATTCATACACGGCGTTAAAGAACTCCACGATATGCTTCACAGCAATAATGACAAATTGTAACAAATAGGAACTCCCTTTTCAGCTGAGCCCCAGGCGTCCCCCGTTAATAAATAAATATCTCCCTTCGATGATCAATAACCCCTAAAAAATTGTCCATCATCTTTTTGTTCAGATCGTCCAGAGACCTCCGATTTTTACGGTGACTCCTCAACACCTTTACATGAGAAAACTAGGGGAAACTTTGGAGATTCCTTGCGACGCCAGGGATGGCGATCAAAGTCATCGACCAACCATAGTTTGGTACAAAGTAAGACGGATCTTTCGGATATCCTAAATTTCAAAATGATTTATTTAAAGGCAAAAAAAAAATTGTGAAATTTTTGTACCCTCAGAATTATTTATATTATGAAAAATGACGGGTGATTAGTAATTATGCTCGCGGGATTTTCTCGATTTTCCTGGGTTTGGGTCATCTCGAGGAAGGCTCTGACCTCGTTTCCACGATTAGTTTATTCTCTCAGGCGAGCCCTTTCCAGAAAGCACTGCGCATAATCACATAATTAGAACGCATCTTATCTCGTCACTACTTGCGTAACCTTGTCGGTGTGCGGGGTAATTCGAATAAATTAGTAAAAGCAGGATTTCACCTACGCAATGCTCTGGTATTCGTCAAGCCAATTCCGAGGCTAACGAGGCTGACGATCGCCGGGAATTCCGATGAAATCTGAGGATACGTGGACAAATGTTAAAGGGTTAAAAATGACTTAATACCAAATTCAAAAATAGTCGAATCGATCGCTCGGGAATTAATTTTATTCACTGTTTAATAATTTGAAAAATTGTCGCGGATTGTATTTAATGAATTTCTGAAATTTCCAGGATGGATCGGCGTTGCCTCCAGAAAGGACCACCGTGATCGGCGGGAATTTGACCATCGAAAGGATCCAGGAGCAGGATCGAGGGATCTACCAATGTGCAGCCAGCAACGAGGCAGCAACAGTAGTCGCTGATGCCGAATTGATGGTCTTGAACGTCCCTCCGAGAGCTCCGTACAATCTCAGTGCAAACAGCAGTAAAAGTGCAGTGACCCTCACCTGGGTTCCGGGATACGTGAGACCAAAGATGGACTACTCCATATGGTAGGGAAATGGGGAAAATATATACCTGGATGCGTGTGCCACTTCCTTATGTCTATTTTTTTCCCGGACCAGGTACAGGCCCACGGGAACTTCAGAATGGAGAACCATGAAACTGCCCTCGAGGAAGATCACGGAAGCCACGGTGAACAATTTAAATCCCGGACGAGAGTACGAGTTTATGGTCTTGAGCCAGGATAATCACGGGGACGGGATGTTCAGCAAGGCCGTAAAGGTGTTCACTCTGCCAGGTATGGGTTTTACCTCCTTTACTCCTGAAATTTATTTACCCTCGCATTCCTGGGTGAAGGTTAACTACTGAATACTTAATTTTCCTCGTTCAAGTCGCGTCGAGCCAGAACTCGGCCTCGGGGTACCACTCGTCAGGTGAGCTGAGGATTTGATTTAACTCCATTTACTTGTTATTTTCCATCGGAGGTAATCGATTGGTGTCGATTTCAGAGCCGGAGAGCATGGGACCACCACAGAATGTGAGAGTCCAGGCCACGGTGGAGGGCTATCTGGTTACATGGGATCCCCCTGCTTATGGCACCCAGTACGTCAGACTTTACACCGTAAGGTGGTTTCGGGGACCAGCTGAACACCTCTACGGCAGATCGGAAACTACCGACACATATTACCTGGGTAAACCCACAATCCACTATAAATCAATATTTATTTATAAATAATCTGAGTCCATCCTTAAAAAATAATGGCACCCATCCAAGGCCTCCCGAAACCCTCTCTCGTCCAATACGCGTTATTGTTCACTTAATTACTAACGATATAAAAAAATAGTTCAAACAAAAGTTGTTCCTTATAATATCACGCTCAACTTTTGTATGAAGCGTATTTTTCCATGATCAAGGGTTAACAATGAAAATCTGGAAAAACGTATGTCGGAGGGCTCCGACCCCAAGTTCTTGCTCGGAGAAATGAAAATAAGATGTAGATCTAAGATCTAAACGAAAATTATATTTGGTAGTGTTTCGACGTTTGAATTAATTTTACAAATGTGGGAACTTTCAGTGAAATCCTTGGAGGAGGAAAGCTCTTATACCTTCGAGGTGGCAGCCGTGTCCATGTCGGACGAAATACTACCGAGCGAACGAGTAACATTAGAGGTTCCGGCATATCGTAGAAATCGCGCAATTTCTATGGGAATTATCGCCGGAATCGGATTTTTGGCCGCAGCAGTGGCTGCCGTTTTTTGGGCCAGGAAACGATTTTGCCGATCGGCGACATCGGAGAAATGAAACGAACGATCGCGAGCCGTGAATCGACTCGATAATCGATAAGGTAATCGACCCGGATCGAACTATTACCCCGAAAGAAAAAAAGCGAAAAAAAAGATGTCGAGTCTCATGGTGTCGGAAAATTGTGTGGACTGTGTTTCTTAGTCTCTAACATTAATCTAAGATACCGAGGTTTGCCTTAGTACACATTAATCACGTTAACGTATCGATAGGTGCATTCGATTAGACGGCACTAAAAGACTATACGTATGTTATCTACATGATCTACCTTAAGCATGTTTCGTATGCAGTCAGTAGATGCGGTCTACGCGTGGATATGTATAACTGGTACGTTTTTCTATTGTAAATAAATTAATGTAATTGGTAGTCCAATTTATAATAGATTGCACCATGGAGGGACCTCTCGGAGGTGCGATAAGAGGTTTCTGTACGAGTTACTGAAAGCGTTACGAGAAAAGAAATTGCGATTTAAGCTCCTTAGGAAGCCTTAAAACCAGTGACCAGATTTGCGTTTATTATCGCGCCTGTAATCCGGAAAGAAAATGTAAAAATGGAATTTCTTCCCTCGTCGGAAAAGTTCCTCGACGAGTCTTTAGCTGCATGTGCTAATCAGTTGTTTATATAGACCCGATTACGTATTCCACACGACTAGGAATTAAGAAGGTGATCATTCGCGAGGTAAAAAGGTAATTGCCTCGCAAGTAATTACCTTTTTAATCTCTTTTTTAATGGGGAGGTCGTGTAATCCCGGTGGAGCTGCTTCAAAGCGGATTACGAGTCCTCGGACGGGTATTTAAGGCTTTGTTGAGTCAATATAATTATTAAGTTATTCACCGAGCCGACAAGAAATCCCGGGAAAATTCCCCCGTCCTCTAAAATTATCGTTATACTTATATATACAATTTTTTTTAATATTTATATTGACGATGAAAATCACCGCGGGGTTTTTGGGCTTAACTTGGAAGTGGGAAATGGTACAGCCCGGTCATCTCGGTTAAGTCTCGTCTCCCCCGTTCCCAGTCGATTTAAATTGGGCCATTCTTTCCATTCATTCTCATTAATCGAATAAAATTGATGACGAGGAGGACTTAAGGGACATCCACAATGCAGCGCCTCCGCTCGGCGCGGGAGAATTCCCGAGCGGAGCGGAGGCGCTCGAGCTTATTTTACACGCGTGCGAGTCGTGCGCGAGTGCACGCGTAACTTTTAGAGGAGTGTTCGTTTATCGGGCTTTGGGTTGCCAAGGCTATTTACACGCAAGATCACATTCGTTAATCGGCTCACAGTCAGTGTCCTCCTTGTAACGCGAGGAACGCGAGACGTTAGGAGCCTCGCTTGACGGCAAATAGTCATCGATACTCGCAGTTTTCTTGGGCTTCGTAAGTACAGACTGTCAAGTTTACTCCTTTTTGCCACACTCGTTGACTCTTGACAGTTTCGGCCCCCCGGAAAATCCCCGACTTCTAAGCAAAGTTTGCGACGCCACTAAGTCGGCCCTTTTCGACCCGGGCCTCCGGTCATGGACATTTGGCACCTTGACAGTTTGGCAGCGAGGAACTTATGTGATTTTCGGACCCCTTTCCTTTTTTATACGCGTTAATCATTTCAGCAGCGAAAAAGATCCGCCACTTCGAGGCGTAGGCATTTTTGCGGGTAAACATTCGGAGTGACAAGGAGGAGAGTTCTCTTGAATTTTCGGGTTACAAGGGTAACTTCTTGGCACGTTGACAATTTTGACAGAGAGGAAAATTTCGGTCTGTCGAAATACTCTCGCTTAAAGAATTATTTTTTTTTTCCAGCGAATCTGGGAAATTCTATGAATTTTTTCCTTCCGAGAGTGGTACTCAAATTTGAAGAAAATTATGCCATGTGGGGTATAGAAATAACTGACGGTGATGAGGATTTTTAATACACTTTGTCTGGCTCGAAATAAACCATTTCAACGATATAAATATTTTTATCTTGCGCGGAAGTTCTCGCCTTAGTCGCGACAGAGATATGCGAAGTCGCAATCCGTGTGGTTTGATAGCGGAGTGCAAATCTATCGCTCCTCGGGTCAGGGTCTGAAAGAGATCATGTGGTTGTAATATTCCATAAGCATCGAGTGATAGGATCCGTCGCGAGCCCGTAGTCATTCTCATTTTGTGTCTTACAATTTAATTCCGGGGAATTATTAAACAATGTACACCACTTAATACAAATCGTTAACCCCGATCACCAATGGCCTCTTCGCTCCGCCCTTCGATTTACCCTTTTCCTCTGGTCAATGGTCACCAACAACTGCGACAAGCCCTTAAAACAATTACTAACAATCGCCAATCTCACGTAACGGGATTTAACGGTACTTTTCTAACTTACATATATTTTCTTTTCTCAAACTTTGCTTCTTGCTTCATGAAGGAGAGTCGTGTGTCGTGCGCCGATTTTCGGACTGCCGGTTAAAAGCTGGGATAAAATTAAAAAAGTTTAATAATTTCAGATCGCGCAGACATTGTGTTTGATTTTCATTGTTAATTGCGTTTACGGTACCTACATTTAATAGAAATGTATTTGGAGATGGTGCGTCCAGAGAGGCGGCGCATTATTGCTCATCGGTTCATCTGAAAGTCCAATTGGTCCCAATAATTTATCGATAAGTGGGCAGACTCACCGGTTGACGACCTCTGGTTAATTCCTTGACACCCGCTTTAAGCACCAGACATGTCGTTTCATTGATAGTGCGCTCGTGCGAGTACGCGGTGGTGGGAGGTATTTATGAGGCTTACTACCTGAGGCTTTCGAGCTAGCCTCTTTGAGGTCTCTCCTCAGTCCATGGAGAAACTCACTGCGGAGCGAGGCACGCTCTCCGTGATTCGGTGAGTTTCCACACATTCGGCGGACTAACGGAAAGCGCGAGGGGTCGTTTCGAATTTCGCCACCAGGCGCCGCTACGGTCGCGCCTGAAGCGCCTTAACGCCCTCGCCTCGTGAGTTTCGCCGTGGAATTTGTGCCTCTGGGATTAGTGAGAAAAATCTTTCCAAGAAGCTTTCGCCGTAGAATTTGTGCTTTGAAGAGATATCAAGGATTTGGATCCCGAGACTTCCGTCGTTCCGAATTTTCGTTCGAATCGTCTTCGTTTCGAATTTCGCCACGAGGCGCCGCTACGGTCGCGCCTGAAGCGCCTTAACGCCCTCGCCTCGTGAGTTTCGCCGTGGAATTTGTGCCTCTGGGATTAGTGAGAAAAAACTTTCCAAGAAGCTTTCGCCGCAGAATTTGTGCTTCGAAGAGATACCAAGGATTTGGATCCCGAGACTTTCTACGTTCCTGCCAATGCAAGTAAATTTTCAGGTTATCCTGGCTTTAAAATGGCGCCCCGAGAAGAAACATCGTCGTTCGGAATTTCGCCGTCGAGGCGGCGCTACTCGCGCACAGGCCGAATAATTGAAATCAATTAAAGCATGTATTTCATCGGTGGGCAAAATGAAACGCACTTTGTCGATTGAAGATGGAAAATGTACTGAACAGGTTCCGAAGGTGCTTTTCTCGATTACGTGTCGACACCAACGGGGAGTTCAGGGTCGGTCCGATTCCTTGATACGAGAATCGCGAGCGTTTTAACCGCAGCGTGGACTACTTTATAAAGCTAAAGTACCACAACGCCGTGATTAAAAAAAAAATGTACATTTTAAATGCTTCATTTTAGTAACTCTCCACCGGCTACAGGAGTTGTCGGAAGTGAAGCGCGAGGAGGGACTTGGCGGCGGTGATGGAAATGATTATTCTCATTGCATCGTAATTTTACAATGTTAAAGCCAACTTGGCAGCGCCACTTGGCAGGGTGTTATAATTGGCTCGATAAATCCGTGACGGAAATTATTTCACCGGTTTCCTGTTGGAAGAGTATCATTTTTCGAAGGCGTAGAACTCCTGACAAAACTCCACCTCCGTGAAATTTTCGGTAAAATGGACGCCCCATAAATAATATGACAATGAGGTAACAGAAGGATATAAATTGAGTAGGAGTAAGTTAAATTAGGATCGAAGAATAAAGGCACGGTTTGGCATCCTCGATATCATGATTAGAAATTCATGAAGATTCGTAAGTAAAAGGAGTAAAAAAATTAACAAAGGACTATAATAGCCTGGGATTAAACGTGTTCCTCGGTTTTCCAGCCAGTTATCCAGTTAGCTTATAATCGCAAATAATTAAATTCATAAGTAAAAGCAGTAAAAAATTGACAAAGAACGATAATAGCCTGGGATTGAATTTATTACTCGATTTTCCAGCCAGTTATCCAGTTTGCTTATAATCGCAAATAATTAAATTCATAAGTAAAAGCAGTAAAAAAATTGACAAAGGACTATAATAGCCTGGGATTAAACGTGTTCCTCGGTTTTCCAGCCAGTTATCCAGTTTCCTTATAATCCTCGACTCCAGAAATCGCTTTGGGGATTTTTTTGAATTTTGTTTTGGTGCTCCTCGTGGTTCCCATCCCGGTGGCTGCAGAACTCGTTTTTCTTCTTCTCTTCCTTCCCTCTCGCTTTCTCCGAGGAAAAGGGAGCGGTGGAGGGCCATCTTCTGAAAACGCCCTCTTTTCTTGGCAGGGCCCTCTGAAAGCAGTTATCCTATTGTCGAGGAATGTTAATAGCCCCCTCGTGCTTATCCATGGCCTGTTCGTTGCACCCGGTTGCAGCGATCGAGACCTTAAACACGTCCATGACTCAGAAAAGGGAAAGACTAAATCAAATAATGACCAAAAGGAAGGCAACTGCATGAACTTCGAGTAATAACCCAACGATAAGACCGCGTAAATTTTGGGATTATCGTGTTGCGATAATTATTATTATTAAAATTACTCCGAATCGGTCATTACCACTGGTGTCGGCTTGGCGGTTTAATCAAATCCGACGAGTCTTGTTTTATTCATTTCATTTTATTATTAACTCACCAAAGGTGAAAAAGGCTTATAAATAATAAAGTAAATTTTGGGATTATCGCGTTGCGACAATTATTATTATTAAAGTTACTCCGAATCGGTCATTACCACTGGTGTCGGCTTGGCGGTTTAATCAAATCCGACGAGTCTTGTTTTATTCATTTCATTTTATTATTAACTCACTAAAGGTGAAAAAGGCTTATAAATAATTAATTAACGCCCATTTTATAGGAATGCCGAAGAATGCGTACACGAAAACGCGACAAAGGACGAAATAAGAGGTCTGGAAATTTTGAATGACAATACCTCGTTTATTAGTCTGCATGATTTTCCGTACGTAAAGTCATGTTCACGCTTGGAGTTGACAAACTGGGGCGAGTAAAAAATATTTTTATATTTTCTTTGGATTTCATTTCAAGGGGTTGACTTAGCAGGGAGGATAAGTTCCACATTGTCGCACTTCTGCAGTGAACAATAATATTTTTAACGAGGTGCTTTCCAATTTTACTCCAACGAATTGTCCCGGTTGACGATAAGGCGTTCTATATTGTCGTGCTCGTAAATTAAAACTTCCCTCGAGGGGCTCTTGGATAAACGTATAATTAGAGGATTTTGATAAAGGGGGAAAAGACGTATCTTAGAGCGACGCAAACGAGCCTCGACTAGCCAATGAGAAAGCTCTGCTGATTTTCTCGGTTATTATCATCTACCGACTTATCGGCGAGGACTTTAAACAATGCTCGGTGTGTCCATAACGAGCTGGCCTGATTTGCATTTCAGTCACTTAACTCGCAGGCGATTCGCCAATCGCTCGACGCCGATGACTGGTTAATGGCGATCGATCTAGGCCAAAGTTTCAGATATTTTACGATTTTACACCCAAACATGAAATCTCATGAAAACACGGCGTTATTAAAATACACCAGCGATGTCACTGACAACAGTCGATGCATTGTCCGAGGTCTTTTATTTTTGCTCAACCTCCTCTACGCAATGACATTTAACCTTGACATGCAGCGCAAATCGAATTTGATAACGTCGACAAATGTCAGGATTCTATTTTTAAGCGTCTTTGTTTTCCCATTTGCCGCTCGACTTGGAGTAAAAATGTGGAAATGACTTTAAAAAGGGAAAGCATATTTTTATTCTTCCTTCTAGAGACCTCGATCTTCTCCTGGGGTACTTGAGAACCTCGAGGGATATTTGTTGATGTACACAATTTATTTATTTAGTTTTCGACTCGTGGTATTTTTTTTTTGTTTTTTTTTTTGAGGCAGGAGGGAGGTTTGGAAACTGCTCCGGATTGATTTTCTTCGTCTTCCTCAAGAAATGTATACTCGGGATGTGTCGATTCTTCAAGGCTGCACGTGGAGTAACTCCAGTGACTCTCATCTAATGTTCCCGGATTAATATTCGCCTCGCCTTCCATTGACACTCAGTCCGGAGAAAATAATGTCCTCGGGTGTGTGTTCGATTACGACATCAAAACAGGCGACATTTTCTCGACACGTGGATCTTCTGCGCATCGAGAACAGATGCGACTACACAGTGAAAGTAGATGTATTGAAAAATACATATAGGTTCATACATAAAATCATGTACATATGTATTTACATTACTCAGTCGAGTCATCTGGACCAGTGATCAGTCAGGAACGAGGCGTACCGAACGAGCCGCATCCTAAATTAAACATAATTATTCTAAATTACAAAGATTAGGTACGTTTAAAAATTAAACCTACTCTAATTTTACAGTCCCGGGCTTATGTTGCCTAACTTACGTTGATCGGTACCGAGGAAGGTATTTTTATCAATGGTATTTATTTTAGAGAATGCTGTTCAACTCTTACTTCTATATTTAATAAAAAAAAAATTAAATCAATGATCTTGGACGCATCGCATAATTTTTCCTGGGTTTGTGATTTCCACCGAAACCAGGTAAATTTTGTTTTGATGGACGTACATGTTCCATCTTTGTCTTTAAAACGAAACAAGTTTGTGTAGACGCGTTGCGCAACTCGCTAGTTATCTCCGGATATAGTCCAACTTTTGATTAGACCTTCGCAGGTGCATCGCGTCTCATCCCAGACGTTTTTCCATTATTTCCTTGAAACGAAACAGCGAGATCGGCGATATCGCCATTTCTTGCAGGCGATGCAATTTTATTCAATTTCATGCACGCGTCGCATCGACGAAATATCTTGTTTCCATTGGCTGATAAACTGCATCCCAGAATGCACCGAATGCGTTCTTAAAAGGACTATATGGTAATTCGATAAATAGCTCGCCTTATCTTAGAGCTTTTCTACCTTCAAAGATACAAAAATCTCCCAAAAAATGCGTCATTTTATCCGATTTTGCCGAGGTCATTAGATGTGCGGAAAAGCCTTTGTACGCCATTGCGAACTTTTCTTCCTTTAAAATTCCAGTAATTTTTATATAAAAAATATAGAAAATTCAGATTTGTTTTCCCAGCGTGATAGACTTACCTCCAAAATTCCAAATCTCCTTCCATTCCCCCCAGGGAGTCGTAAAAATTCCTTGCGAACTTTCCTTCCTTTGAAATTCCAGTCATTTTTATACATAAGAAAAAAAGTGTAGAAAATTCACATTTTTTTTTGGCAGCGTAATAGTCTTATCGCCAAAATATGAAATCTCTTTCCAGTGGCTCAGGGGCTGGTAAAAACTCGTGAAAATGTGTCATTTTATCCGACCTCACCGAGGTCATCAGATGAGCGAAAAAGCCTTTGTACACCATTGCGATCTTCTTTCCTTTAAAATTCCAGTAATTTTCATATATAAAAAAAAAGTAGAAAATTCATATTTGTTTCTGCAGCGTGATAGTCTTATCGCCAAAATATGAAATCTCTTTCCAGTGTCTCAGGGGCTGGTAAAAACTCGTTGAGAAAATGTGTCATTTTATCCGTTTCCCCGAGGTCATCAGATGCGCGGAAAAGCCTTTGTACACCATTGCGAATTTCTTTCCTTTAAAATTCCAGTAATTTTTATATATAAAAAAAAAGTGTAGAAAATTCATATTTGTTTTTGCAGCCTGATGGTCTTATCACCAAAATGCGAAATCTCTTTCCAGTGGCTCAGGGGCTGGTAAAAACTCGTTGAGCCCAAAACGCTTCTGACTTTTGATGACCCAAGGTCCAGCAGCGAGTCGCCCCACCCGAGAAGAGGATGCGTCTTCCAGGAGAGGGTCTCGATCAGATCTGGCCCTAAGACCCGGTGAGACTCTCCGATGGTCCGCGGCCTCATTGGTGACCGTGAGATTAGATAGGTTTTATCTGCGGATAACCGAGAGCGGCTGACCGGAAAAGTGAGTGCGGAGGTGGCCGGGGGTCGGCCGGCCGCGAGAGTCGCCACAGTCCAGGGTGCACATGCCGAAGAGACGGAGACACTCGGACTCAGCTGCAGGGACGACAGTCGATCGACATGAGGCCCTGGTCCGACAAGTCCTTTGTCATCGCCTTCCTCGGGCTCGTCCTCGTCGTCCTCGGGGCCTCCTGTCTCTTCTTCTGGCCCCTGCTCTTCGGCGCCATCATTCAACAGGTTTGTTTCCGTTCTCATTTCTTAAGTTACACTCTACCCAGAAACGTCCTCCATTCTTCATTTTAGGGCCGATTGTCAAATCTAGGGTGTTATCACCTCTTATCAATTTCCATGATTTTTTAATTGAATATTTTCCCCATATTTTACCCAGAAACGTCCTCCATTCTTCATTTTAGGGCCGATTGTCAAATCTTGGGTGTTATCACCTTTTATCAATTTCCCTGATTTTTTAATTTAATATTTTCCCCATATTTTACCCAGAAACGTCCTCCATTCTTCATTTTAGGGCCGATTGTCAAATCTTGGGTGTTATCACCTCTTATCAATTTCCCTGATTTTTCAATTGAATATTTTCCCCATATTTTACTCAGAAACGTCCTCCATTCTTCATTTTAGGGCCGATTGTCAAATCTAGGGTGTTATCACCTCTTATCAATTTCCCTGATTTTTCAATCGAATATTTTCATTTTTCATTACTTCCATTACTCTCGTCAGATTTCCCACCTTTACTACCATCTTAATATTTTCATCTTTTTCAGTTCCTCTCTTCCCTCAGGTCCTGGATTTTTATTTTCCCCTCCTAGGTGTTAAGGGTTAAGTCCCGGGACTTTTTTTTTCTTTTTTTTTTCGGTCGTTATTAGTTCTTAGTGTGATTTTTATTTCGTGCGAGGTTGATGCGCTCGCTGATGCAGAATTGCAAGTGCCGCGGGGTGAATGGACAGAAACGGGAAAGAGGGAATTTCTGTTTGCATGTTTTCTGCTCCTTCAGGAGGAATTGGAGTAAATGGAGTGTTGCCATTTAAATTGAGCGTAATTGGGAAAGAATTCGGAGGGTAAGTGCGGTACAATGAGAGGTCTTCTTGTCGGGGAGCCGGATCGTTGTCTCTCTGAATTTTCATTCTGAGTTTGTTAACCTCCTGGATCAAAGTTTTATTGTTTTTGCCCATTTGTCGATGTGTTAAAAGTACGAACGTCGAGTCGGAGCAGAAAACGGCGTGACAGAAAATTCCTAATAATTAATATTCACGTATTCTCCGGCAGTGATTGGAAAACCTTCGCTAGAAAATGGCGTTAAAATGTAAATTCAATTTTTCACGTACCAGTGGATTTCATATTTTATTATTTTTTTTTTTAAGGCCAGACAAGATGTCCTCGAGAGATTTTATCGAGTGCCAGGTGGATTTCGTTTATCGCTAATGTCACGGTGTACGAATATATTTACGCACGTTATTTGCGTGGATTTTTTTCTTCTTTTTTTTTCCACGTGTCGCGGATAAGACTCACGTCCCGATATTTTTCAGGGATTATCCTTATCGCCGGAATCGAGGAGCTTCGAAATATGGAGAAACACCGGCCAGATCCCTCTGCACTTGGAGTTTTACTTTTTTAACTGGACCAATCCCGAGGAGCTCAAAGTCCCCGGAACAAAGCCAATTGTCGTCCAAAGAGGGCCATACACTTTTAGGTGAGACTTTTCGAATTTTTAAAACACTCGAAAATATCTACAAAGTATCATCTGACGAGGTAAAAGATAGGAGGAATTATAGAAAATATTAAAAGCCTCTGTACAAGACATTATCAAAAATATCAAATATGTCGGGCTCACCGGTAACGATATTTTCCGAGTCCCTTTAAAAAATGAATATTTAAAAGAAATGTTTTCGCCGCTCTTGGAACGATGATCTCAGAAACTGGATATTCCTTCGGAAGTGGAGTGACATTGAAAATCTAGTTTGAGGAAAAGAAAAGAAAAAAAAAAGAAACACGTTGCGGTGCGATGGCGTTTCGTAATCGGAAACACTTTGATATCAGTATATAGGGACATTGCGAAATAATTATCGAGCGTGATCGACCGATAAGAGAAATAAGGAATTTTAATCTAACAGTCAATTAAGTCCTTTGATTTCTCGTTGGGTGAAGGATCGATTCGAAGCTCCCCAATTTGTGGGCAGAGTGGAGTGATAAGCCGTATCTAAAGTATGGAGATTTGACGCTAAACCTTCTATGGGTTTATAATAGAAATTTTTCAAAGAGATGATTTAACAGAAACGACGAAGAAAGGATTCTTCATGAAATGATTCATAAGGATTTCTGAACCATTGATGAAAATCATTGTTCTACCGATTAGCGAAGAGTCTGCCACGTAGCACGACACTCTACAAAGAGTTTGTAATTAAGTCACGTCAATTGTTCTTTGTCATGGGTCATGCAATGGAGATGTCCAAAGACCGCATGACTAATTTTCATAATGCTTTCGATTTTTAATTTTCCATCCTTGAGATTTTTATGTCCGTCTAAATCATAAATCCGTCATTTATGACTCAGATTTTCTTGACGTCTCTCTGACGTCATTAATGGATCAACTCTGATAATTCAAATGATCTCGTAACAAGTGTTCAAATAAAATGCCATTTTTCGTTTGGCTCTCATTCTTAAAAAAAGAAAATTAACACCGTCAAAATCTAGTATCATTGGTTATTAAATTGTAATAGATGCCTCTAGATATTAAGATGCAAAGATGATGCATTATACTCGTCGGAATGTTTGCAATTATAATTAGCGTGCACGTCGCTGTTGACATCGCGGACTGCTATTATTCTTGCGCATAATCTGCCCAGGATAATAATGCATATGCGAAGTCCTCGTCGATTTGAAAAGAGTGATTAAAGCCTTCTCTTCTGGCTCGACATTTCCATTTTCTTTTTGCAAGCTTCATAAAAAATATATAAATCATCGCGAAATTTTATTCACGCCGTTGTAAACGTCTCGGTTTAATGACACGGTTCGTGTATTGTTCAGATAGGTGACTAAAGGAGTCATTAAGATGGGGAAAAAATTATGCGAAACATGTCACGGCGGTCAAGCGTGAATTACAAGAAAAAAAAAATGCAACGTTTTTATAGGACTGTCAAATATTATCTGCCGTAAGATCTGAATAAACGTCAAGATGACGTTTCTTCTTTGACAAAGAAGTCATCGATGTCAGAGGGGTTATCATTCCTCCGGAAATAGCGAAGTAATCAGTACTAGATGAAATAAAAAGCCAGGGTGTTTATTCCTTTTTGCTTGAAAAGTGCACTCGTTTCCACTAATAAGTCGCACTTAGATGCACAAATTGCAGGTCAAATTGGATGTTAAAGAAACAAATGGCTGCTTTTTTGTAACACTGACGTCAGTTGACTTATCAAGAAGAGCGTGTCGCCAATTTATCTGATAAATATTAGCAAGAGTTAAGACATTGTTGATAGCAAGTTATCGATATCTTTTTACAACTCGTAGCTGTTTAAAATAATTACTCGGACATGTAATTATTCAATACGTTATTTTTATATTTAATCATCAAGTTATTATCTACCAAAAAGGTGTAGCAATTATCGCGCACATAAGTTACGATTAAGGATATCAATTAATTGATAAATCGTCCTAAAAATTAATATTTAATTTTTTTTTGGTTATTTTACGTCGGGCAATGTTGACCCTTTACACTTTATCTCTTTTTTTCTAACTGTCTATTAGCATTGAAAGCTTACCAAAGCCGAGCTTTGGACCTAGTCGAGAGTAACGCGACATAATAGGATTGCTCGCTTAAGCAGGTTACCCTAACCAACTTAATAACGATAAGGAAGAAATAGTTAACCCCGCGATATTGACATCTTAATGAACAATAAAACTAGATTTCACCCTGTAGGACTAAACGGAGGCCACGGTTGCGTAGGCGATGCCTACGACTTTATTAAATAATCGACTAATTAATCGACTTTCTCGTTAACTCGTACTCGACGTACATGCTCTATGACAACTCCAATTTCTCAATGGACGCAACGATAATTTCTCAATGAACGATTGTACCTCGATCTAGATCAGGCACGCGGCTTCGAATTAGTCCATTAATTGTTTATCAATCCAGTTAGTACGTGGAATTATTTTTCACCTGGAAATTTCATATTCTTCTCGCCTTTTTTAAATTATTTTATTTATTTTATATATATTCTAAATCGTCATGAAATATGACAAGCACTGTTTTAGAGAGTTCACGGAGGTGTATTGTGGTCGGGATAATTTTTTTAAATCTCTGAAATATTCATTGCGAATAGGACAATTTTTTTTTTAACTTAAGGCTGAGAGGAGCCGCCGAAATCTCGCTGCAACTGCATTTTAAATGGGTGTCATTGGGGTGCAACATTGCGTAACCAACGACGCGGGAATGGAGGAGGTTGTTCTAAGGTGCATTTATAAGGCCTAAACGACCGGCTGGACAATTGTCACGTCAATCCTAATCGAGACATGTAGGCCGGGTGTTAAGCCCCTCAACAATTCGAGTACAAAGGTGCCAGCCGATCGGCAATTTTCTTGAGGAATTGCGACATTGCTTGAAACGCAGAAACACGTGACTACCGGATCCTTTATCATTTATCTTGAATTTTCCCCCACAGGGAGGAACGGCAGAAAATCAACATTACCTTCCACCCTGAAAACAATACCGTGAGTTACTTACAAAGGAGGTTTTGGTACTTCGACCAGTCGAGGAGTAATGGAACCTTGCAAGACAACATTACACAGCTCAATGTTGTGGCGGTGGTGAGTTAATTATTTCCTATTTACACCGTGATGTATGCGACATATAAAAATTATATACATATAAAAATGCAACATATCCGCGTGATTTTAATTTGAAGACTCGACATTCCCTGGGAAATTAATTCAAGTACGAGTGATCTTTCTGATGGATTAATATCCTTAATCTATATATGTTTTTTTACAGTCAGCCGTCCACAAGGTGCGATACTGGTCCTACTTTATGCAGAATTCCCTGTCGTTCATCTTGTCAAAGTTTCCTGCACTTTTCGTTACCAAGACAGTGGACGAGCTTTTGTTTACCGGATACGAAGATCCGATCATCAATATGGGAAAGCTCGCAGCCAGCGAAGAAGACATTCCGCCCTTTGACCGATTTGGATGGTTCTACAAGGTGATTGCCTTATCGAGCGCTTCATTTTGACGTCTTATCGGACAGGAGAGATAACTTTTCACTGTCGAGAATATTGATCGATGGGTATCGAGGGACGCCTTAGAATTTTTGATGGTGCCTTATCGGGAAGATGTCGAGTGTACCTGTCGAAGAGGATGCTGAAAGTGAACCTTTCCAATTAATACATATTAAAAGAAAAAAAGGGAACCCATGGCTCGCCCTCCGCCATCGTCTCAGAAAATATTTCCGTGTTTCGGAAAAATGAAATAAGGACCGTGCATTGATAAGGAATTTCCTTGGAGTAATCGAAGATCCAGATAGAGCTGGCCGGACGTTTATGCGCGGAGCAAGCAATTGCCATTATTTCATAGCACATTATATACCGCATTACTTCTTTTGACATCACATGGTTCTATGTGTTCGTAAATTGCTTCTGAACGATGCTGGACGTGCCGAAGGCGGGTGAAAAGAGTCTCAGAAATCGAGTCTTATCAGGGTCGGCGACATCTTAATCTCTCAGTAGTGAAGTCCTGTAAAATTAATAACATTCGAGAACTCTATTAAGTAATTAATTTTCCAGAGAAACGGCTCCACGGAATTCGAGGGGCACTACAACATGGAGACGGGCCAGGACGACATCAAGAACATCGGGACCCTGAAGTACTGGAACTATAGAGACACCACGAAATTCTACAGGAGTCCTTGCAACACCGTCGAAGGAAGTGCCGGTGAATTTTGGCCTCCAGGCAGGACGAAGGACGGCGACATCAATTTGTTCAGTCCCGACCTGTGCAGGTGGATATCTTCTTCGGCTTTTCTTATCCGTAATGTCCTTCCGCTGTGTAGTGATCTAATTAGTGAAATTAAACGACGGAATGCATTATTTTCGAGCTCGAAACGCGGAAGGGAGTCTTCCTGGATCTCTAACGAAGCTTCTTTCTCTTCTTTTTGTCCCTGTTTCTTAAAGAACGGTGACTTACGAGTATGTACGTACGGTCACTCATCAGGGCATCGAGGGGTACCAGTACGCCATAGGGAACAAAACGCTGAACAACGACACGAAGAGGCGATTCCCCCACGAGCAGGCCAAGTACTTCGAGTCGACGACTTTGAGGGAGGACTTCTTCGACACGGATTATTCGGGAGAGTCGACGGATCCTCCGGAAGACCCCGACGTGGCGAACATCGGACAATGCTACTGCAACGGGGAATGCAGTCCATCCGGACTGATGAACATCACTTCCTGTCGCTTTGGGGCACCAGGATTCGTCAGTCTTCCCCATTTCTACAACGCCGATCCGATGTTGCTGGACCAGGTCGTCGGACTCTACCCCAGGGAGGAGAACCACAGCTTCTATATAACCCTGGAGCCGGTAATAGGATAATGAAATGAAAATATCATTTGCGAAATTTCGTTAATTTTTTTTTTTTTTTTCTAACGCCCCGGGAGGGTGCTTCAATGTTCCCGGGAATATTTAATATTTATATTGGAAGGGATTGCTAGGTTGAACATATTTTTCAGACCACGGGGATCCCCATTGATGTGGCGGCCAGGCTCCAGATTAATATTCTCCTCCAGCCGTCGAGCACTGTCACGTGAGTGATGACTTTTGTACAATGTTGTGTATTTTGTGCACTGGGGTCTTGAGAATTTTATTTTATTCGGAGGAGTCACTTGATTTTCGACGTTTTCAGGCTCTTCAAGGATGTGCCCAGGATCTACTTCCCCATGTTCTGGTTTAATATGAGAGCTGGGGTCACCGAAGACATGGCGTTGTCCCTGAGGTATCTGTTGATGTTCCCCAGCATCGGTCATTATGCCAGTGGCACCATGATGATTCTGGGCTCGGTCATCCTTTTAGCTCTCTCAATCATGTATTACCTGAGAAAAGCTCGGGTGAATCACGTAAGTCGAGTTTAATCATACTTACTTGTTTAATGATGCAACATTTTGGCGGATTACACTAGAAATTGCATGATCTGTCGGGAAATTCAATTCAGAAATGCAGAACGGTGAAAATTGTTCCAAATGGAAAAATCTTAAGATGAGAGACCATTGTAGTGTCTAATTTCGTTTTTTTTTTTAATAATTTCAGGCTACGGTTAGCAGGAGATCGGCGGATCCCTCGGAAAAGAAAACCGAGCTCGTTTACATGGATCGAAGAAATTCGAACGACGACTACCACACTCGTAGGGATCGTCAGCTGTATCCGAAGCTTTGAAATCATTTTGGGAAAATGGTTTCCTTATCATTCACCGGTCCTCGATTACGGGGAAAGGTCGATCGCGACTCGCGTCGACCCATCGAAAAGACGAGACGGATTTCCGTCTTCGGCCATTTTGTCACATTCAAGACTGGTAATGGGAAATTTTTCCGAGGTCGTTGCAACTTCCGCTGCAATTCGCGGCTTCTCAGAGATGCAGGGTAAATAGGCGGCCATCGATTTTCAGATGAGACCAATTTGAAGGGGAAACTTTCCCGTAGGTTTCGGTCGGTCCTTCGGATGTCGGAAGTCATTCGTGAAATTATTCGAGATTACTCGCGAATAGGTGCTGTCACCTGAGAGCGGTAAATACGGAATTCAAGATTTTTCCTTGGATTCTCGCTACTTGCCAGTAGCCGGTAATTTACAGAGATCTGAGTTATCGACAGCACCTTCGACGTTCCGATACGCCCTCGTAAATGAAACATTAGATATCTTTATAAATATCACATACGTATAAAGTACTCGAATACCTAATACGAGATTTTGCAAAATTTATCGATTTTCTACATGAAAAAAATCTGAAATTTTTAAACATTCTTAGTGAATATATGAAAGGATGTATATACATCGGTATAAAAATCTCAGGAGGCATGAAGGCAATATTTTTTTATACTCGAAGCACTCGCTGAAATTCACCGGATCTTTCCGATAATCCTGAGACTCTCACGTAGGTTTCATATCTTCGTTACTGTTTTATATTCTTAATGTCTATCGCATAGTAATATTTTTAATCTCGTTTTCACTTATCCTAGATTATAGACTATTGTTTTACGTTAGTAAGGGTTACCTGACTCCAACTCCTTATTTCAGCCCTTTAGTATAATTTCCTCCCATGAAAAAAAAAAAGAAAAAATTCCTTTCCAACTTTGTTTCACGCAGCTAATTCATTCCCAAACTGCAAGACAATGGCCTTAAGGTTGTCGCAAAGTCCGCGCCATTTTGGGAGATTTTTGTACCTAAACTTGAAGGTGGCTTCCGCAAAGTTGATAAGGTTCCTCAAGCTCTGTTAACGAGGGTCTAATTAAAGTTATAGACTATGACGTAGGCGGGTCCGATTTCTCGCAATAATTTGTGCCAAATAGTCGACATACTGACAATACAGAAAGCATTCCGAGAATCGAAGGCCTTTGATTTTCACATTAATCGAGATATTCTCGCATCGGCGAGCAAGTAGTTTCGAGGCGGACATGTGAGAGACAATTATTTCCAGTCAATGAACAAGAGAGTATGAATGTGTGTACGTCCGACTCAATATGGACATTTTATATTGCGCTTTAATAAAATCTTATAATTTTTAATCGCCATTTTGGTCCCACCCCGCCTTGTCTCTCTTCGACGCCCTAAAAGAAATTCCGCTATCAGGAAATTCGGCAGAGTTTCGCACCAAGTACTACTTTTTTACATGCGAAATCTGGTAAAACAAGAGTAGCTCTTCGAAAATGTTGGTCCATGTCGACTAGTTCACCTTGAATCATTCGAGCATGCTCCAACGAATCACGTCAATGCGCATAACTAGCGTGAAAACGCAATTGTTTGCTACGGTAGTTATTACCAATCAACCTCTCTCCAATGTGCGACTAGAAAAGCGAACGCAATTTTAACACTAGGTTTACGGACCCGTCAATTTGACGGAATTCAAACTTCGAAAAGAAATACCGAAAGAACCATAGCATTAATTTTAACCATTTTTGTACCGTAAATTAATCATTTCATCGAAAGAATTTGTACACAGAATTATTTTTTCCTAAGCCTTCTAATTATTAAAATCTGTATGTAGTATACCTATCTCTACGAAACCCGTCAAATTGACGGACTAGCTAATTTCATAAACAATCCATATATATTTGCTTCGTTGCAGGGAGTTTAAGGCGAAGATGAGTGTGAAAGTTTGCATTGAAAGTGGAGAGATAGAAGGATCTTCGGATAGTGAAGAGGAAAACTTCTTGAAAGGGTGTCGTGGCAAGAAAAGGATGCGCATTCTTTCTAGTTCTGACTCCGAGGATGAGAGGACGAGCATTCCAATAATTTCCGTGATAATTTTTAAAAAAGGACTTTTTACTTATTAATCATTCATTTAAACGTAAAGCCTAGTGCTGTTTAATTCAGACTTAATTTGAATAAATCGATTTTTTAAAGAAAATCCGTGTTTTCGTTTACCCGTCAATTTGACGGATGCTCGTAGAAACAGGTATATATGTTATCGTGAATGACCGAAATTGGAGAATGTCGACTTTCACCGGTGAATGTCAACAGATACCAAATACGTCGGTGAAAGATCGAATATTTAATTACATTGTTGTACATTCGGACCCTCTCCAGTGTGTGTCGACAATCACACACCGGTGAATGTCAACAGTTACCGGTGTAAGTCAGAAATAAGGGTATTTAGCAAATATTTCGGACATACACGAAGCGACTATGTGAATGTTGACATTCACCGGTGAAAGTCGACATTCTCCAGATTTCGGTGTTTCACCGTAACATATATAAAACGCCCGTAAACCTAGCGTCAAAAGAATCTTATCCTACAGGTAAGAATTTCTGTATTCCGAGGATTTCTTTTTAAATTATTGGAATAAGCGTTTATACGAGAAGACAATTTTCCCTTAATTAAACAAATGTCCTTATACAAAGTGGATCGCTGAAGGCGACTGAACGGATTTGCAGATAAATTCGATTCTGTGTATTGATAAGAGGGCTCCTCTGGGATTTCGAAAATTCTCTGAATACTTGCAAGCTGAGCGCGTTTCTTCCGTTCGGAGGTGATAAGGGAATACCCAGGCCCTGTTATCGCGTACAATACCTGTGAGTCATGGCACACGAGTGGTGTGCAAACGCAAATTGTTTGTTCATATTGTTAAATCCATGATGGAGGCTATCGCTGGGAAGAATGTCTGCTCCATAAAGTGATATCGTTCCTCCTTCACCTGGTTTAATTTCTCAAAACGCTGTTTCAGACTTTTAAAATCCATACGTTAGATCTTACATACTACATATATACGAATTTTCAATAAAAAATAATTATTTCACGGTGAATTCTGCAGTGAGAGTGAGAAAGGTCAAGAAGTGAGGGAAGAGGCATCACTTTTCATACCAATGAATGATTCGCTTTCATTATCACGGAATGGATTTTTGTTTGAAAGGTGTTAAGGTGAAGTGAAACATCCTTCAAATCAGTCGATTCGAATACAACACTTTTTTTTAAGGGTATTAGATCAAACTGTCCGAAACATTGACACATCACTCCTGATCATCTAAGAGTTGTCCTGACACATTGAAAATTTGGATTTTTCAAAAAAAATTTTAAACCCAGTCCAGACCAGAACCAAAATGGCGTCGAGCTCTGATATTTCGATCAATATACAATTATCGAAGGCTCTGATATGAGAGTCGAAAGGATCAGGATAATTTTACGAGAATTTATAACACTCTGGTAATCGATAAACTCGCATTTGAACGGGATAAAGGCAAAAAAAGTGTTGTATGCGCTTCTATGCAATTTCTATGAAAATTTAATTGACCTGGAAATCACAGATGGCGCAGGGGGTCCCTCCGCAGTCAATTAGGGCCCCAGAAGGCATGAATCCAGAGGATTTCTGGAGTTTTACTTCGATTACTTTATAATTATTGTACGAAAACGACAGGTGGAGTACGCCATTTGGTACAATACCCAATATAATTCGATATAGCTGTCAATATAAAAACGAACGTCGGCAACGTAGGCATTTAGAAAAATCTTCTTTATCGACGTCGATCAAGTTCCTCGACGTGTTTCACTTCACCTTAAGATGGTTAGGTTACAGAGACTTTGTTTAAAGTGCTCCTTGGATTTTCAGGCCTATCGAAGTCCAGGACTTCCTTGGAATGAGCCACGTCTTTAGAAAAACAGTCAACATGGCCGAGCAGAAGCCTTTGGCCGAATCCGTGTGTACCGTGTCTTTCATCGTCTCCTGAAAACCAAGCGCGGGTATAACGACTCCTCGAGGGAAAAAGTTTATTTTAAACGCGACGCACCTCCAGAAACCGAGGTTCCCCGAGGGGGGTCCCCAGGTTTAAAGGGGATCCTCCCTTAGTCGAGGTCGTCGGCTCCATTGTCCCCCAGGGATGCTGCGCGAGCATTGTCATGTCTTGACAAGCCCGAGGAATTACCCCCTTTTTCCCGATTTTCCTCCGGACCTAAATCAAAGGGACGAAATGAGAGCAAAATTCCGGGTGGTAATTCCGACGCGACAATTCTTAATAATGCGAAATTAAAGAAGAGGCGAGAAAGTGAAAAGCTTCATCTCCGAAACCATCCGCGCGCGTGTCGTCAATTATTGCGACGAGGGATATTTTTTTTTTTACGCCATTGAATTTTTTCTGGCTCGGGTTTCCGGCTGGGATTTTTCCCGGGTTTCGTCTGGGGTGAGGAAATATTTTTTCTTTTTTTCCCCAGCCAGAGGAACTTTCCTCTGAGCCAAAACGAGGACGAAATGCATCTAGGAGTGCTTAAGGTCAAGAGGCTCTCGAGAAAATAATTGAGTGCCTCTTTGAGGCCCGAAGGCCGAAACCTCGACTGTTGGGGGAAACTTCTCGCACTTCGTAATTTATCGGAGAAATTACCGTCTGTGTATGTGGAGCAGAGCCTGGGAACGAGAGGACGTCGGCTGAGTCTCGCGCCAAGAGCGCACGAAAAATGACGCGATAGACGGCCGAGTCTCTTTACATTGAGCTTAGGTATAAATTCCGATAAAAAGTTCCTATCTCCGGAATCGGGGCTTCCTTGACGATTCCATGGACGTCTAGATAAAGCTCGACTCTCCCTCTTATCAGCGCTTTTGCGCAATCAATTAAGGTGAAGTGAAACCCCCTTCAAATCAGTCGATTCGAATACAACACTTTGTTTTAAGGGTATTAGACCAAACTGCCCGAAACTTTGACACATCCCTCCTGATCATCTAAAAGTTGTCCCGACACATTTAAAATTTGGATTTCTCAAAAAAATCTTTTAAATCAGCCCAGGCCAGAACCAAAATGCCGTCGAGCTCTCATATTTCGATCAATATACAATTATCGAAGGCTCTGATATGAGAATCGAAAGGGTCAGGACAATTTTACGACAATTTAGAACACTCTGGTAATCGATAAACTCGCATTTCAACGGGATAAAGGCAAAAAAAGTGTTGTATGCGCTTCTATGCCAAAACGATGGTAATACGAGGTCTCGGAGTGAAAATTTAATTGACCTGGAAATCACAGATGGCGCAGGGGGTCCCTCTGCAGTCAATTAGGGTCCCAGAAAGCATGAATCCAGAGGATATCTGGAGTTTTACTTCGATTTCTTGATATTTATTGTACGAAAACGACAGGTGGAGTATGCCATTTGGTACAATGCCCAATATAATTCGATACAGCTGTCAATATAAAAACAAACGTCGGCAACGTAGGCATTTAGAAAAATCTTCTTTATCGACGTTAATCAAGTTCCTCGACGAGTTTCACTTCACCTTAATATTGTCATTTCTTTTGCAGGAGGAAAGGGATGTTTTACTCTTTTCGGCGGGTCTTTTTAGAGAATTGTCTCCTTCTGCTCGCGTAAGCTTTCGGAATTGCGAAATTTAAGATCCGCGTGCACTTTTTAGGGGGGAATTCGGCCTCCAATGTCGCGGAATCCTTTATTAATGCCGTCGTTAGTTGCCAAATGATGCGGACCAGTTTTCTCATTTTCCGAGGGTCGATACTCGAGAAGCGTTTTCCACGTTGCGACAGCACGAGGGAAAACTCGATATTTCGCGGCCTTCACCTTCGGGGAAATACCTAGGGATTTCTAAAGGTTCACCGGAGAGGATCCCTGAGAAACGAGGTTAAGGTCGGGATCGACAATGGGCACGTTATGCAAATTTTAGATCGTTTTTTTTGAGGCCCGGGGAAGTGTCGCGTTTCGCCCGAAAATCCGTGGATTTATCTGGAATTTCGGATTTCCCCTTGGCAGCTGGCCAGACCGAATCCCTGAAAATGGGCGAAAAATTCCCTCCGAAAAAAAGTGAATAAATTTGGAGGAAAAAAAAATGTGAATAAATGTCACCGAAATTTCTCTCCTCGGAATTATTCTATCTTTAGGAGGGTCTATAAATCTGGGAAATTTTTCACTGACTGTTATTGAAATTAGGGAATGTCTCGGGGTTGGGTGAGGTTAGTTTTCTGTCCTTTTGCAATTATTTCGCAGTTTGACGAGTCGCGATCGAAGCCGACGTTACATTTCTTCGAAGCCATTTCCTGCGAACGTAGACGGTTTAATGGCGCTCATAAAATGACTTTATTATCCGCATTATCGAAAGCCGAGACTCATGTGCGTCGTCTTAGAAGCTGCCCGTAGGTTGCACTCGACGCCATTTACATTATTCGCAAACAATCGGCGTCGGTTATCCCAGGGGAAAGGTTCTCCCTAAATTCTCGGAGTTTTCAATCAACCTCGACCAGCGTTTGGAATTCTCGAGGCAGCGGAAAGTCACAAGGGCCAGATTTTATTTTATTACCAGGGCCCTTAGGGTCCCTAGGATACCTGCCCGTTCACGGTCCGAATCCCAGAAATCCCGGTAAGGATCTAGCCGATAGGTCGCACTTTACGGTAAGCTTTTCACGGAATACCGAAAGAAAGCGTTCCGAGTGTCCAACACGTGTCGGACCCTCGGTGCGTCCTTCTCTATCGCCCGGATCCCCGCATAGCTTCCTCTCTCTCGCACTCGCACAAAACTCGGGCTTCCAGTTTCCGGGAACGGTCGGTCGTTCGTTTCGAGGCAGTTCCTCCCAGATTTCCAAATTCACCAAGCTCTTGTCTTTCCTGCCGAGTTTCCTGTCGCGGCCTCATCCCTTTATTCTCCTTCCTCGAAAAGAAATTGTTGATGATCAACCCTTGCCTTGTAAAAATTCAGGAAAAGAAATTTAATTAATTTATGATCTTAACCTTAGATATGAGGAATTTAATTCATTTATGATCTTTAACGCGAGTTATTACATTATACTACATGATATCCGATTTATATTCTCGGTTTAAACATTTACAGCGTTAAATGAATGGGGGACAATTTTTCCGGCAGCCAACAAGTGTTCGAGTAACGCTGGCTGCCTTCTTTCAGGGGCTGAGGTACGCCTCGCTCTGTCTTTCTTCCACTCACGGGCGCCTCAGTAGCGCCCTCTCGCTCGCACTCCTAGGAGCGATACGCCGCTCGTTCCGGGCAAATGCCGGCTTTTCGACGGTCACTCAGTCAGTCGTTTCGAGACCCTCGAGTTAACCGGGTGGCAGCCGATCGGTCTCGCAAAATTCCATCACCGTTTCCACATACAAGGAAAATCAACCGCGGTTTAAATAGCCAACATGTGCACCAGGCAGATTCTGTTAATCGCGACAATCATTCGTAAGACACTTTTTGTTATAAAAAATCACCTCCAACGGGGACAAAAAAAAATTCCCATTTTATTTCTGATTCGTGACACCCATTAATCGCTTTTCATGCAGTTTAGATCCCTTTGGTGTTTTCCGATATCTTTTTTTAGAAATAGGGAAATTTAAAATGTATTATTAATTCAGAAAATTAATTTTATTTCGTTTGATTTTTCTTGTTCTTTGTTTCAACTGTGATTTTTAACACAAATAACGGCTAATAATCATCGTTAATCATCGTTAATCAAATTTCATGCGGTTTAGATCTGATTAATGTTTCGAATACTTTCTTTTTTTTTTATTTCTTTTTTACGAGGGGACGGCGTAAAATTTGTTATCGAATAGTAGATTGAGGAAATGACATTTTTTTTTCCGTTTGCAGGATACTTTGGAATTTTGTTTTTGGCGTGAGTTTTTGGAGAGTCTTCGGGTTTTATTTTCGTCCGTTGCGACGCCATGACCATACTCAAGTTTTTCCTTGTTCTCGATGACCCTGGGAATATTTCTTGGCACGAATGATTTGCTCTTTGGGAAGCCGTTAAGGATTATTAATCAGAGCGTAGCATTGTATTAACGGTAAAAAGGTGACTCATTTTTGATACCGTTCTCCCGAGGATCCCCCGTTAATTTCCAATACTTCTCGTGATTATCCATTCTCTTATCTCCTTTGACTTGTAACGCTTATCAACATCTCCGGCATTGTACATTGATTTCGGGGTATTTTATCAGCACAGGAAACGAGATGTGATGACGAAGCTTTATCGGACTCCGGATTTTGTGGTGAAAATTTGTCTGAGGTCCTGATAAATAATTAGACTTCTCTCCGTCCGACGTCTCGGGAGAGATTTTACTTTACAATAGGATTATACCATTGCTTTGTCGAATTTTTTTTTTTTTTTTTAATTAATTTCGAGGCTCTCCGATAGTATAATTTTTTTTTTCTTTTCCGAAAGTACATCACAGCCGTGTTTATTTTCCTTTGGTATTCTCTCCTGGAGCCGTGTAAAAATAGATCGGCAGAATGATTTGCGGAAAATTTCGCGGAACGTTGAAATTTATTTTAGCGCTTACTCCGGATTTTATTTTCTACGCCGGTGTAATATTACTATATAAATAAAACACGAGCCGTGTAATATTTCCAAGGCACGAGCGCGTTTCTTTTCGATGAAGGAGCGTGAAGGAATTCCCTGATTCATCATTCTATCGAGTCTGCGTTCCTCGGGTTTGCAAATCGAATGATAATTTAGAGCACGGTATCGAAGCTTTTAAATGATTCCCAGGATTTGTCTAGACGTTTTAGAATTATTTCCGAATATTCGCAGAAATAAATCCGTCAGTGAGGGAAATTTCGCTGAACTAAATTTAACCCACTCGTGCATTAGTTCCTCGACGGACTGAATAAACAAGGGAAAGATTAGTCCTCTATCGGTGGTATGATGGTCAATATTATTTTAACGACAAGGAGGGATTTATTGCTGGGTTACGCGATAATTCCCGATAATACTCACATCTGTGCCAGGGAAACGTGAAAGATACGCGAATCTACGTGCAGGGTAGTTGGTATTTTCCGACAAGATCCCTCAAAGGCGTCTTAACAATTAATGTCAATATATGACATGAGTTAATAATCATTTTTAGTCCCGTACATTTTTTTTTTATTATTTTCGCTTTTCCTCTTTTGGAGGTATCCAGAAATGAAAGAAGTACAATTCGTGAATTTGAATTCCGCGCGGATATTCCGCGTGAAAGATACGCGAATCTACGGGCAGGGTGGTTGGTATTTTCCGACAAGATCCCTCAAAGGCGTCTTAACAATTAATGTTAATGAATGACATGAGGTTAATAATCATTTTTAGTCCCGTACAATTTTTTTTTTATTATTTTCGCTTTTCCTCTTTTGGAGGTATCCAGAAATGAAAGACGTACAATTCGTGAATTTGAATTCCGCGCGGATATGCCGCGTGAATCTACGTGCAGGGTGGTTGGTATTTTTCGACAAGATCCCTCAAAGGCGTCTTAACAATTAATGTCAATATATGACATGACGTTAATAATCATTTTTAGTCCCGTACAATTTTTTTTTTTATTATTTTCGCTTTTCCTCTTTTGGAGGTATCGAGAAATGAAAGAAGTACAGTTCGTGAATTTGATTTCCGCGCGGATATGCCGTCTTTCGGAATGCCAATAAAGATTGTTGTGCCGCCATGTTGCGAGTATTGTTTGTATTGTCGCATTTAACAATTTCTATCACGAAGTGCACACCGATCGTTGGACTTGCATACGTGCCACGAAAGCAGGATAAATCGGCGCACGTGACACGATTCTTCGTACACTTCTGTTTCATTCCCGACACGCAAGGTCGGCCAACGTCATCAAGAATAATTCCTCAGGGTGTTGATTAATAAACAAATTTCCTGGAAACTCGGCTCGGAACTTTTTCCTCCCTTTTTTTGCTTTTTTAGAAAATCTTCCGAGCGAATGAAATAATCGAATCGCTCTCCATCCAGGATATAATTAAACAAAAACGGGCAAGCACATATTGTTTATTTAATTATCATGAAATGAAGATCCGTTGGTACTTTTAGAGGCTTTCTGTCGGGCTCATTTATTTTGTTCGCATCCCCTGGAAATAATTTGACTTTGTCATTTAATTTCGAGGGATGACTATGTCAAGGGGAGGTCTCGGTATAGTTATTAACCTAAATATCGACTGTTAACAAATCGTTCTCTCCGATCCGCCCATTTGTTGTTCCTGGCACGCGAATTTATCCTCGAATCGATTCTCTTGCACGCGCGGATGTATTGTCTTATTTTTATTTTAATTTTTTTTTTGGGCAGTATGAACGCGCGCATTGTTTCCAGATATTAATAATAATATTACTAGTAATTATCGATAAGAAATTCCTGGGAAATAATTTGCTTGCGTTTCGAGTACGGTAATTTTGCTCATTTTACGTTTCATTATTTTGGCGATAAATTGGACACCGGATGTCGGTCGACAAAATGGCGAATATGGGCAACAATAAACAATCGTCTCTCGTGACGTGCGACGTTCAACCGGTCGTGAATGTTGGAAAACATTTCGAAAGATCGAGTGTCGACCTCTTGCATTTCTGGGAAGTTTCAGATGACTTGCCGGTGTAATGCAAGTGCAATGCATCGGGAATGACTCATGACGCCTGGAACGGGAAATTGAAATAAAAGCAAATTGAATCTAACCGATTAATTGTTACGTCTGGAGACCTCCGAGGTCGAAGTATCGATTCGCTCGATCGATTTACCCGGCGCTGATCAATTTTGCCCTCTCTCTCTCGTATTAGCAGATTTTAACATTAATTTTGAAGAATGAATTTTTCGCCCGACATTACGTTTTACATTTATTTTTTTGTTATACAACGGAATCATTTATTCTACCTGTACATTGGTTTCAAGTTAATTATTCTCCCCGTTATTGCGGTAGGTCAGGCTCATAGTCGCCGGCAAGGTGTTTCCTTTTCCAGTCGCTCTTTCTCTCTCGTTCGATTCTTTTTCAATCGCTTTTTTGTCTCCCTGGCCGAGAGCGATTCCCGTGGACACTGAAAACTCTGTCCATGACTAACAGACCGGAAATGGCCGTTGTTTTAGAATCATTGTACAGAAAACGCCGCTCGGGGACTTCGCTTTGCCATTTGAGAAAACGGGAATGGCTCTGAAAAAAAATAAAAAAAAAAACGAATTGTCATTAAAAATTTGGGCCGACATAAATTTCTTAACTTCGCAATCGTACACGAGACGTTAAGGACAATGGTTAAACCCATTTTCGACGGTAAATTGTCTTTCGAAATTAAATTCATTAATTCCCAAGGGAACTTTTTAAGTAAACGTTTGGAGGTTTTTAATTAGAGGAGGAATATTTTTCAAGGGCGAGGGAAAATACCAGGCCACGTGAATCACGATAAACGAAATCGATTGATCTGCAAATGGAGCAGTTAATGATTGTCTTATGTCGAGGCAACGAGGGCCTGTTCGTGCCAGTCGATGCAAAAACGACGCTCGGCGTCTCGTCGGATATTGGGTCACAGGTCAAGGGTCCTCGAGAATATTTATGCAGAATGGAATATATATATATTCATATCCGTATACGTATACATTTACATGCTCGTTTCACTCTTCCAGAGGTGGCCATGTGCAACGCGTCGGACATCAGGGACCTCTTCCCAGAAGTTAAGGATAACCTCACCAAAGTCACGTGGGCACATGCAGTGAATAGTCAGAAGAAGCTCGACGACGCCCTCCAGTCAGGTGATTTTGTCAATATGTTTTGTAAAGTGTTTAATCATTCCTGTATTTTAAAACGGTAGTCTGAAAGTATACAGAGAGAAAATATACAGAGAGAAAGGTCCGAGAGCGGGAATTATTAATTATTAATGTCGAATCGAGAGAAGCTCGACGACGCCCTCCAGTCAGGTAAAACTGTCAATAATTTTGTAAAATGTTTAATCACTCCTGTAATTTAAAACTGTAGTCTGAAAGTATACGCAGAGAATTACCGGAATTAAATGGCGAGGAAAAATGTTCGAGAGCGGGAATTATTAATTATTAATGTCGAATCGAGAGAAGCTCGATGACACTTTCCAGTCAGGTGATTTTGTCAATACATTTTGTATAGTGTTTAATCATTCCTGTATTTTAAAACGGTAGTCTGAAAGTATACAGAGAGAATTATTGGAATTAAACGGCGAGGAAAGATATCTGAGAGCGGGAATTATTAATTATTAATATCGTATCGAGAGAAGCTCGACAACGCTTTCCAGTCAGGTGATTTTGTCAATAATTTTGTAAAGTGTTTAATCACTCCTGTATTTTAAAACGGTAGTCTGAAAGTATACGCAGAGAATTACCGGAATTAAACGGCGAGGAAAGATGTCGGAGGGCGGGATAATTATTAATTATTAATGCCGAGTCGAGAGCCACGTGTGCGGAATGACTCAGTCCACGTGGCGCAACGTCAGAGGAAGTTGCAGTTGCATGTGGTGGGCTTCCAATCCTAATGTGCAATCGATGAGTCTCACGTGCCATTTGCACGCCCCCGTCCGCGTTGATTATTGCAATTTCTTTGCGACATGACTAATGAGAATGATTTTCAGACATAATGATGCTGGAGGCCGATGTCATAGTGGGTACTTTGAACACCAGCGGTGTCAATGCCACCGACATACCGATCATGGGACATCCCCCTGCGAATGAGAGCGACCTGTCCCTAGAAGACTTCCTGAGGCAGGTCCTGAAGAACGGGAAGAAAGGAGTGAAGCTGGACTTCAAGTCGTACTCGGCATTCAGCCAAAGTCAGCCCGTTATCCAGGACCTCTTCGAAAACGTAAGTTTGCCCTAAAAGTCGGATAATTGAGACGGATAAAAACCAAAAGTTCATCCACACGGCTAATAATTTATTTATTCAGGCGACTCTTCCTCTATGGATCAACGCCGACATCCTGGCAGGTCCTGTGAACGCCTCGAAGCCTGACGAACTTTTTGAGTCATTTGTCAAGGACACGGTGCAGCACTTTCCAACCTCCACTTTATCTCCGGGCTGGACCACCAGGTGACACTTTCGAAATTATGAAAAAATAAGGAAAATTCGGTTAAACGATATTCGACGTTTAGGGGCAAAATATGTACATAGGTTTTTTTTTTTAATCAATATTTTATTATCCAGGTACGGAGAGGCGTACAATATTACCGACGGCCAGTACACGGAGGAACACGTGAAGGAGATGCTGAAGTCCTTGTCGGAGGCTAATGTCACCCAGTCGATAACTTATCCAGTCAGGGCAGGATTGGCGGCGAATAACGTGACCGCGATGGAGAGTTTGCTGAAGGGAAGTCCTTTGGAGAGCAACGCCACGTTGACCATTTGGTCGAGTGCCGGGGACCACGTCGATAAGCAGAAACTATCCTCGCTGATAAAGACCATCGGAGTCGACAAGGTGTACCTCGACGTTCCCAAGGAGGTCCTGGATGGGCTGGACGTCTCCAACTCCACGGCGTCCGCGGCAGGGTCCTTGGCCTTGGGACTGACCCTGGTCAACCTGATGGCAATTCGGCTGCTCTGAGGTCCTTTCGACCGAGAATGAACTACCGTCGTTATTCGTCACTTCCGGCGGCTGCCGATAAGACGAAACTACTTCCAAGGTTTCGGGATAACCGTCCCCACAGGTTTTCCGGAAGTTCCTGGTCCTCGAGGTGGCTCGGAAGGGTCCTTCCTCCGAACCGGAAGGTCCTTCGGATCGTCTGCTAAACGACGACGTCGGTGCACCGTCGCTTCCGTTTCCGGGGGAAAAGAACTCCCCCTAACTGTGGTTTTATCATTGAGTATTATTCCGTTTATCAGACTGTCGACGACGACGTGATTTTCAGATGTTTCTTAGGTTAGGCGCATCTTCCTCCTGATCGTCCTGCGAGTTTTGTTGCACACCGCTTAGTGTTAATTGGTTAGGTATTTTCATAAGTTTCCTATAGACGAGACCCGCGAAATTTTCAATCCAAAAAAAAAAAAATAAAAACCTTCCACTTTTTTTTTTCGACAATTTAGTATTGATAAAGGGTACGTCCAGGTCCGGGACAGTTTTTCCTGCGAATGGAACCTCTTAAAGGAGGCTTCTGATTTTCCTGATAATTTAATCGGAAGGATTTTTTGATAGAGGATTGGGCAAGATGGACTCTCGATAAATTGCGGAAAAAAGGGGTTTTCATTTAGGACATGATAAAGATTTATTTTTTGGCGAATGTATTCACGCCGGCGCGTGGATATTTTTTCTTTTTTTTTTTTTTTAGGTCAGTCTGACGAATAGTTGATGAAATAGAGAATCCTTTGCAATTTATCGGAGGCTCATTCTTGGCAATTTGTAAAGTACAAGCTGCGAGCTGGCCACCCGAAGTGCTAAACAGACTTTGCATGTTTCGCAACGGGTACTTGCACATGCATTAATGGGATTTTTACGGCGCGGTCGCGAGTGCAGAGTTCATTACAGTATATGAATATACACATATAAATATATATATATTTTTAGTACGGCGAGAGAAACGACTCGCCCACGCGAGGTAGATGATTAATTGCATAGCGGCGTAAGTTAATCTGAATTCGAGACGTAAGGATATTTCTTAAGCCAAAGGAATCCGTGTAGATCACTAGAGATGTCGCGCGATGTTTGATAAAGAAATAAAAGCCTTATCCAAAACGGTGGACGAAGCTTTTCGAGTCGATTTTTTAAAATGGGAAATTAAGAAGTAGCTGCCATTTCAATCCCACGGCGAGATAGCTTATTAGGGTGACGATGGATTTACTAACAATTAAGTTTTGTATATTTTACTTTTATTTACTAGGGATTTTTTTTTCACGCCCTAATCGGAAACTTTTATGAATGGTGCCGTTCTTTTCTTCTCTAAGCTCGCCGCGTAGCCGTGTAATCGGTAATCATCTGCGAACACGGGATATCACTTCCTTAATTTTAAACAATTCTTTCCACGGCGGCCTGGCCTACTGCAAAATGCAAATTTCGGTGCACGTTCTCGACGCCATGAAATCGGTAAATGTCGTGTACCGTGCAATTTCACTTGCTGCACTTTCGAGGCGCAATGGTTTCCCTTGGCGGACTTCCAATGGCGTGTCTTATATCGAAGCGAGAATTTTGCAATGAACAGTCTCTTTTATTATTGAACCGAAATTATTCACGTGGAGTCATCGAGGAAAGCTTCCTGTAATTTTTCCAGCGCACTGACTTGAATTGTTTCACTATTAATTTAATACAGAAGATAAATATTATCGGCTCTGTTGCTGAGAAAAAAAATATGTTTTACACTTATCGTAAGCTATCTTTGAAGAATTGAAAAAAATAATTATTTGCGTTTTCGGGAGAGAGAGAGAGAGTTTAAGTCGTGGGATGGTATCGTCATTGTGGAGGGTCTTATATAAATTGTTGGAAAAAAAAAGAAGAAAAAAGTGGAGAATTACCGTGTAAGGCCTTCGTGACGCCATCTTATCGTCTAATGACTCGAAACATCGAGTCACCGTACAAGATTACAGGCGACTCGTTTCTTTGAGGACGTTGTCGTAACGTCGTCTAAAATAACCGTTAAGTACTCGCGAGCCGTAACTCGTGTTAATAAATCTTCCTCCCGGCGAGTTAGTAAATTGATAGTGAAGAGCAGTGAAAGTTATCGCGGCGGTTTTCATCGTTTGTTTAGCCTTTAAACTCTGAGGAAGATCGACGATCAAGGAAATCAGTGAACCTCGTGGAAGAGAGCTCGGGCTACCTGCAATGATTTTTTAAACTCCACCTTAATACTTCCCATGTCCCTCGAAATCAATAATTTCTCCATTAAATCACGTGTCAAGCACAAAAAAAAATATTAAAACACCCAGTCCGACAGGATAAACGTCCACATAAAATGCACGAACCACGTGGCGTAATTTCTTCCTTTATGATTTAATATTCGAATATGGAGAAAAAGTGAGCAATGAGTTAAAAAGAAAAAAATGTGAATATAAGTGAATTCTCTTTTGGGGATATTCTTCACGGGGTGGCGGAGAAAGAATTTTCTCTTTTTTTTTTCTTTTTAATGGTTATATGCCCATCGAGGGTTGGGCAAGACCAATGGGAGGTGTTGTCGGAGGTCGGGGCGAATATAAAAATTTAAGATCGGGATTAACATGCCGTGCATATATCGTATACATATTCCATGACACGCGTTCTGTGAGCGGCCATCAATCCGCGGGATTACAGGCCCGCCACCCACGGCGACGAAATTCCGGTGCGGTTCCCTCGTTGCGTCCCTATAATTCCCGATGCATGTAGGGCCGATGTGTGAATACGAATGGCCTTTACAAAGAGATGCACATGTGAGCTCTCCCCGGAATCCGCGAAATGGCCGCGCCGAAACGCAAACGCGAAATGAAGGGTGGCTCCGACGCGGATTTCCCGAAAAAAGCCGTGAAAGTGTATTTTTAAGCAATTATTTCGGCAAACTTGCCGCCTGATAACGCGGAACGAAATTTGTCACTTTACAAACAGGCCATGTTAGCACCTCAAATTATGACTGATATTACATATTCATTTTTTTATAGAAAAATTAACGTTTTTCAAAAATTCCCGGCAGCGTGTTCAATTTTTGTTTCACATGTAGTCATATGTAATTTATGGATTCGTCGCTCGATTGTGATTTTTCACAATTATTTCGGCAAATTTGCCGTCTGATAACGCGGAACGAAATTTGTCACTTTACAAACAGACCATGTTAGCACCTCCAATCGTAACTGATATTACATATTAATTTTTTTATAGAAAAATTAATGTTTTTCAAAAATTCCCAACAGCAAGGGTGTTCAATTTTTGTTTCATGTGTAGTCATATGTAATTTATGGAGTCGTCACTCGATCACGATTTTTCACAATTATTTCTGGAATTTTGCCGTTTGATAACGCGGAATGAAATTTGTCACTTTATAAACAAACCATGTTAGCACCTCAAATTATGACTGACATTACATCTTCATGTTTTTATAGAAAAATTAACGTTTTCCATCCATGTTAGCACCTCCAATCGCGACTTACATTAAATGTTCACGTTTTTAGACAATAATTAACGCTTTCCATAAATTCCCGGCAGCAAGTGTGTTCAAATCCTGTTTGATATGTAAGAATTTATGGATTCGTCGCTCGATTACGGAGTCCAATTAATTACAGGAAGAAATGTGTCGGATAAACACTCCGTGGAATCCCTCCTCGATTTTCTCTCATGTCAGCGTAATACGATAAATAATTAGCACGTCTTAAACGCGGTACATTAATGCGCCGCTTCTTTGTACCCTATAATAACGATTGGCGGGATTCCTTATTAATTGCACAAATAACGAAAGGAGAGCGAAAAAATAGCGGCTCGGCATTAAACATTGCGAGTTATTTCTGCTGCGGTTTCTGCACGATGATAAATAAGTGTGCCGAAGTGCAGCGACCTCTTTACGCGCGTATTACGCAAGTTCCTTATCAGAATATTTAATAAACGCACTCGTCAGGTAATCAATTTCAGCATTTATTTCTTTTTCTCCTCGATTCCCGGTTCACTCTCGGTGGTTCATTCGAGACCATTAAAGAATAAAAATAAAAAAGAAAAACGAAATAATGAACAAAATCCTGCTAAAATAATTTGCAATTTTTCCCTGCCTTCATATCATATTTCTCGGGAGAGATGATAAGAGGCGACGGCCTCTTATCAGGTTTGCCCATCCTTGTTTATCCGCTGGTGAGGACAGGTAACATTTCGTTCACCGTCAGGTGGGATCAATTGCGGATGCACCTTCGTTTATTATTATCGTTTTTTAATTTCATCGTTACTTTAGGTATAGCAATTTTTTTTTCATTCTCACTTGATTTTCCTTTAAATTTCCTTGACTCTTCTTTGGGTTTCCTCAAGTCTCCTTGATCGTACTTCTAATTTTTCCTCGATCTTCATCGAACTTTCTTGATATCTTTTAATTTTTCATAATTAATGATATTTTTATCTAATCCTACAAGTGGGGAAATTTTTTGTTTTTTTTTTCCCAGGCCTTTTAGAGCCAATGTAGCTTATCCCACACTATCCCACGGGGGTCCCTTAACAGGAGTCCCATTGAGTAGGAAATATCGCTGGACAAACATTAAATTTGGGAGATATCTAACACCGTGTTTGCTTTCTCTAGACAATGGGGGTCGGTAAGGAAGGGCCCTAGGCAAACACTCTTTCCGTCGGATCCATTGAGAGTCGACGGCTCATTGGCAGGCATAGATGACCGCAATTGTCCGGTAATTAGCCTAAAAACTGGTGACTTCATTCCGCCTGAACGAGGGAAAATGAGATGTCAAGTCCTGGGAAAGGTATGTTCCGAGTCACGCGATGTTGGGACAGGTAATGACTTTATGCTAATGATTTCCAATTATCGGCGCGCCTCCTCGCGGATTTCTTTACCCCGTTTTCAAGCTCGGTAATATTTGCGGTAATTGGCAATCGGCTTCCAATTACCGTTTTTCTGAGGAATCACCTGAAATCGAGGGAAAATTTAGATGAGAGATATTTAGTTGCTCCATATGTTCGTAAGTTACCATTTCCATCGTATTCCTTTGCGGGGTCATCATCTCGTTGGCTTGGACCTATATAAGCTTTTTACCGAATTTTCTAGGACAATCTTTACAATCGATACCGCTCGATTATTCGAAGAACAATCGACGCGTCATGTACTTATTACCGGAGGTAATCGATTTAACGGACTGATAGTGACATGCTTTTTGGGACTATCTCAATGAGTTAACTGGGTCGACGTGAGTCAGTTCCTCCCGAGGAATGTTGGATTGTTTGTCGGACTTGATTTTACATATGACTATATAATTATGAAAGTGGTCTAAGTCAAAATTAAAAAAAAAATGGGCACATATGTGCCCATAATTATGAAAGTGGTCTAAGTCAAAATTGAAAAAAAAAAATGAGTTTATCAGTTATTTCACGCCATATTATTTCCAACGAAATTAATTCAATGTAATTTCGAAACAAAAAATATATGACTTAGACCACTTTCATAATTATGGGCACATATGACTATTAACACGTCAGTCTGATAATTCTCTATTTACCACCTGGATTTAAAACCCCAGATTTTCAGAAATCTCGTTCCAGAATTTAAAAATACTTTTCTCCGCCCGATACGAGAGATGAAAAATATAATGGAATAAAATAGTCCTTGTCTTTTCGTAAGTGAAAATGTTCAATGACCCTTTTATTAGACAATAAGGGGTCTGTTTTTTTTTTTTCATTTGTGCAAAGGAAATGTTACATTGCAATATTTCGACATTTGGCCTCGTTCATGCTGCGAGAGTGACATGTTACTCCGTTATTTTTTTGCTTATCAATTAGATCCTCCTTTACTGTAAAGCGTTAGAATCGCGCGAGCGTGAGAAATCACGCGTGCACGCACTTTCATTACGATTGCGTAAACGCATCGTTACGCGGCTGTGTGGGCGATCGAAAGGTACGATCTCCCGATCGTCAGCTAAGAAACTAGTCAGACAATATTCTTAGGAAGATGTACGACTGCAGGACTTTCGAATCCGCCGATTCTTGTTATACGAGAATGTCATTGCAGGTATTATTCAATAAAATGCAGAATTTCACCTGTCCCAATTCATTAAAAATTAAAAAATGAAGTATAAAAAATTAAACGAATTCTTTCGCCACTGTCTAATCAATACTGATGTTTGATTCAATGTTTCAAACGTCATTATTGAGGTTTGAAATATTCAATTACATAATTTTTTCTTGCATTATTCCATAAAATGCAGAATTTCACCTGTCCCAATTTATGAAACATTAAAAAATGAAGTATAAAAATTAAACGAATATTTTCGCCACTATCTAGTCAGTACTTGACGTTTGAAATATTGAATTACACAATTAGCGTCGTATGAAAATTTCGACGAAGTGGGTGAAAATATGAGATATGAGATATTCAAGAAGTACGAAAAAATATGAAAAAAGTTCTAACGGGGTGCGAGCGTCCCTCCGAGCTATCGGAAAAAAGGAAAGCAGGAAAAACAATGGCGGGATGGACCTTGATCTTTCGACAAGGACTCGATACGAGTTCGTTGGACGGTTTTCATCTCCGATTCGATGGACATTCGGCGAGGAAGGAGGCGACCTATAATCACAATCATTGCGCAGTGATAACCCTTTGACCAATGGCGAATACGTTTCACACCGTCGAGAAGTGGGCCAGAAATCAAGTAAAATGGGACAATATTCCTGAAACGTACTTAAAAGCCTGAATTCATGGATTAATAATACTTCAAGGCATGCTTTGTAATTTGAAGAAATTTTAAGGGACTCCTAAACGTCGTCCTCGAGGAGCAGGAAAATTTTTGCTTCGATTTTTTTTTTCTCTATGGCAGAGGAAGAATAAATTAAAGAAGGGTGAATTGAACGCTTTTCCAGGCTCGCTGGAAATTCATGGATTAATAATACTTCAAGGCATAGCTTGTAATTTGAAGAAATTTCAAGGGACACCTAAACGTCGTCCTCGAAGAGCAGGAAAATATTTCGCTTTGATTTTTTTTTCTATACTGCAGAGGAAAAATAAACTAAAGAAGGGTGAACTGAACGCTTTTCCAGGCTCCCTGGAAATTCGAGTAATTTTCCCGGAGATTTTTCCCTCGGAATTAGCCGGACCTCCTGGATGCAACGAGAGCACCGATGGTAATCATGACTTAGCACGCGGAGTGGATAAGAGGCTTACTGGAAATTCCATTTAGGGTTTCGAAAAGGAAGATCCGTGGTCGGATGTTTGGACATTTAGAAAAATGTCGGTCGGATTACGAGGAGGGATTAGGGGAGGGAGGTACGATCCGAATTCTGAGTTATAGGCATCACTCATGCGACTCATGGAGTACCACGTGTTACATTATTTCCTGTTTACACAATTTGAAGGAAAAAAAGAAATTTCACAATTCCTCCAAAGTACCATTTGTTTAGACTAGTTATTTCCAGGTTACAAGAATTAATGAAAAATAAAAGTCCTATTACCATTTTTTTTTATTATTTAAGGAGGGGTCTTAAGAACCTCAGTACTCGCCTGCAATGTATCGGACTCTTGAGGTGCAATTAAAGAGGGGCATCGAGGTACCACAACGGGTAAGAAACCGTCTCGGTTTTCATTTTGTGGACCGGCCTTAACGATGGCCAATGTACCGGCTTTGTTAGCTATGTGACAAATGGAAGCCGATTACCATTCGATATGGTCTCTCCTCTCTCTTTATGCCTGAACTCCACAGGGCACGAGTACACGGTACATACCTTCCATCACGGAAGATTAACCGTCTCCGCTTAAAGGAAATAAGTACCGAACTAAGTGACATTCATCACTAAAAAACAAACAGGCTTAAATTAACCGTTCCCCAAATCGATCCCTACTTCATATCTATCTCTCGCGGTGCCTTATACCAAGCCCTTCAGAATGATTTTTTTTTCAATTCAAGGAGGTTTCAAAGAATTGCCCCAAAATTACGGTAACTAGTAGAGAGTCCGGGGGATGGGTGGGAATTTTGGCGGACACGTGGAAGTTCCGGAAGTCCCGGAAAAAAAATGTGTAAGTTGGAGGCAGCTCTCGGAGCGATCGACGAAAAGTCGTCAAGTGCATCGATCAGTCCTCGGCAAATGTCGGCTAAAGGTGAAGAGAAGAGGGCGCGGAGTCAGCGGGGAAAGTGCCAGCTCGAGAACCTGTTTCGAAGGAGCAGAAACCGAGCGATCGCATCTGCGAGCGGATTCGGCTGGTCCATGGTCCCCGCGAGCCCGTGAATGGTCCCCGAAGGCGCGTACGCCGCCTCGAGATGGTGAATGGGCCTCGGAGATTTTTCAATGGACGCGCCTTGGAACCTTTGGAGGAGCCAACCTGTCGCAGCTTTCGAAACCCGAATCGTCGATCTCGAGGCCCCGACAGCCACTTATGACATAAATAAATATTTATAAGTGCCGTCGTTAATATACCCGATTTTCCCGCCAGAGGGACTCTCCACCTCGGCACTTTACGCGTCGCTAACTGCGACACCGGCAGAGGGGAAACGTCAAGTCCAGGAAGAAAACGATTCGATGGAGTTGAGATATTCGGATAATCCCGGGAAATCGGTCGCAAAGTGCGGAAGAAGCCTTAAAACGAGGATTCGAAAACCGCCGGGGAAACCATTGCACCTTGGCGCGTCGCGACTCGCGAAGTGCCGCGGGAGGGGGTCGGGTGGGTGGGAGGAGGTGCCGGTCGGCGCATGCGCCCCTCGGTCCGCGTTCTGCGGACCGAGCGCCGGCGGAGGACGGGCGCTCAGTCGGCCGCAACATTCGGTACGCGCGATACGACGGGAGAGTGTCTCCCTCGTGCAACTCCGGGCAACATCACGCGACTTCACGTCGGAAAGCCCGCGATTCCCAAAAGGAGAAGAGGTAGTGAAAAGGGAGAGAGAGGGGACTTCAGGAGGATCTTCGTAAACTCCGGACCCAGTAGAGAGGATTGCCGAAGGGGAGAAAATACAGGGCGAGGAGACAAAGCCCTCGCCATCCCGACGTTGATTTCCCGAAGACATACCCAAGAGATCGTAAAACTCGAGACGAGTGATCAGCAACTCCGCCGAGTATATTACGTTACCAGATGTTAAGAATAAAATTCTGAGAAAATTCACCTGGTATATATCACGGGTGTACAATCTGCAGGTGCAACCGCGACTCCGAGAGATTCGCCGTTTCCGAGAAAAATCGGGTTGAAATCTCGAGGTGGAGTCTCCCGTCCATGGCGGGGAACTAGCGCGCCGGTCAGATCGGTGCGGGCAGTTGGCGAGGCAGGGCATGCCGCGCAGGTCGGCCTGCGTGAACCAGGAGCCCCGGGCCATATGTATCTAGAGAACCGCGGTGGCTTCGAGGTCGCCGAGGTCGCGGCTATGCCGTGAGATCCGTCGAGGTCCCCAGAGGCCCGGGACTAAGGTCGAGATAATGCGAGGGAGGATGCAGGGGCTGTCGCTGGTGGCGCTGCTGACGGTGGCGCTGTTGTCGCTGGCGGTCGAGGCGCAAGCTCGCCACCAGGCGGAGCCACGCGGGAACCACGCGAGGAGGCACCACATCCGGCACCACCACGATCCGAGGTCGAGGCGGCACGATGACCTCGACCCAAGATGGCGTCGGTGGAAGGAGTACGACGAGGACTACGAGGAGGACCTCTCGAAAGAGGAGGACCTCGACGCCCGGCGGACCTCTGGATCCCGCAGGACCTCGCGAGGTCACGAGTGGAGTCCAAGATCGAGGTCGCACCGAAGAGGGTACGAGAAGCCCTGGTACCAGGAGGAGGAGAGAGGAGTGTCCTACCCGGGGACGGGGACCTCCTACCAGGTCGGGAAGGAGAGGTCTCATCGAGGTCGACCTCAGAGGGAGAGGTCGTACAGGAGGCTGGGGTACCAGCGAAGGAACGAGGACGAGGTGGAGAACGAGGACGAGAGGGCAGAGGTCGACGTCGACGACGAGGGGTACGAGGGGGAGACCGAGGACAGTCTAGAGGACAGGTACTCGAGGTCGAGGACACACGACAGAGGGAGGCGACACAGATACGAATATGAGGATAACGATGGCTCGAAGAGGGGGAGGCCTGGGTGGAGGACGGGACAGCGAAGTCAGAGGAGGTCCAGACACAGGGAAGGGGAGAGGTCGGAGAGGAGACCTCATGCCGGCAGGGGGATGATCAACCTGACCTCGGATCAGGACGAGCTGGGGTGGGAGAACGAGGATAACGACGAGAACGAGGAGTACGAGGATGAGGTCGAGGTCTCTAGGGTCGACGCCGAAGACGCGGACGACGAGGACGAGGACGCGAACAAGGACGAGGTCGAGGATGACGAAGACGATGGCTTCGATAACAGCTTTCACGGGGGAGAGGTCAAGCCGCCTTTGAGGACTTTCGAGGACATTATCAAGAGGCTGACCTCGGAGGATCCTACCACGTCGAGGCCGAACCTCAAGAGGGACTACCGGAACATCGAAATCGAGAGACACCTCAAAAGAGACGCGTATGGGAACCTCAGGTACGACCCTAAGGTCGGGAAGAGCCTCCCTTCGGTGACCTCGAGTTCGACCTCATCGACGAAACTCGGCAGCGCGAGTTATGCCTACATGGCCCCGTGGTATATCGGGAATAAGCGTCCCGTTAACAACACCGTGCAGCGCTCTCTCGAAGAGGTTAGGAAAATCCCGGAAAATCGGAAGATCCCGAAGGAACCTAAAAAGAGACCCCCCGCGAAGACGGAGGACCCCAAGGCGAAGAGCGCCGAGCAGGACTACGAGGACTATATCAATGCTCCCGATAACGAGGACGAGGACGACCTCATCAAGGCCGGGGTGGAGGAGGACATGCAGGCCGATACCAATGCGGTGAGTCTCTCTCTTTTCACATTTTGTTACATTCGTCATTATCATCGCAACGGCTAGAAATACCGGAAATAAATTCAGCAATTTTGTAGAAAAAAATTAAAAAAAAATACTTCACGTCCTGGTAACGAATTATCGAAATTTCAAGGATCTTTAATCGTTGTTAATTGTATGAAAGTTTTTACGAAATTGTTACGTGATTTATAAAACACCGGGGACTCTGAAAAAAAAAGAATAAATGAAAAGTTTATCAAGGCTTCGCACACCGCAATTTCGATTATCGCCTTCGGGACAAAATGGCGGCGCTTTTTACGAGAGTCCCCAATTCGCCGGACCTCGTTTTTCCGGTTCCTTGCCGGGTTTTGGCAGTATTTCTAGGACACGCGTCCTTGACTAAATGGAGAATTCTCTCTCCGACGTCGCAGATTAAATTCCATCCGCGTTTTCGGCCAGTCCCATTTCGTGTGGACTTTAGTAGTTGGCGCCTTCGAAGGTCCATTTCCGCGTTTCGACGGTTTTGGAAACCAACGTCACTCTTTATCGAGGATCGGGCCCGGGACCCTGTTGACGATTCTTGTCGAAAATTGTCGTTTTGGGATTTAATGCGAGGTTTAAGGTGCCTGCCTTCTTCCGGGTCACCCTGGAAGAGGGTCGAGCTCGTATAAGACGCGATTTATGGAAACTTTGGAACTCTCTGTACATCTGACATGCACCACCGGGGTGGCGGACAGCCCTTCGATTGTTCTAGGCTAATGAGAGTTTGATCTAATTAAGTCCTCGTGCCTGGAGACAGCTGGCTGAAAATCACTGCGCGAGGGCAGCCGAGTATGGGAAAGTGCAGTTGGTCGCATCTGGGGGTGTTGGCCATTATGGTCAAATTTAATGGTCGAACCAAATGGCCAAATTCAATGGTCGAACCAAATGGCCAAATTCAGTGGTCGAATCAAATGGCCAAATTCAATTGTCGAACAAAATGGCCGAATTCAATGGTCATACTCTGGGGGTAGATTCGACCTCACCCTAAGCTAGTGGTCAAACTCGATCATGCCCAAAATTGAAATTCAACGGCCAAACCGAGTCCAAGGTTCGCACCCGATGGTCAGGGCCATGGTTTTTGCATGTGCCGATGTCCAGCCGAGAATGTTTCGCCAATCCAGGGAAATATTAGCCGGTCTCTCACGTTACACCGGGAACCGTGGGTGGGTACGTTGGACTCACCTCTAGCAGTGCCACATCCGGTAGGTTTGTACGGGAAAGAGTTCTCGAAGCACCCGGGGCTCGACGAGGTCGTTACCACTGTTCAGGGTCGCCTATAATTGCACAAATAGTTATTTTAGCCGGAGGTGCACCGTGGCCTTCCCTCCAAAAGGCTTCTAAAATCCATCGAAAGGAGACCCGCCCCCGAAATGCATCCAAATGCATCCCTTATCGGTGAAATTAAATAATCAGTACTCGGCAACAAACCTCAACAGTGGAAATCATTGATCTGTTACCACTGTTCAGGGTCGCCTATAATTGCAGAAATAGTTATTTTAGCCGGAGGTGCATCGTGGCCTTCCCTCCAAAAGGCTTCTAAAATCCATCGAAAGGAGACCCGCCCCCAAAATGCATCCTAATTCATCCCTTATCGGTGAAATTAAATAATCAGTCGCCTATAATTGCACAAATAGTTATTTTAGTCGGAGGTGCACCGTGGCCTTCCGTCCAAAAGGCTTCTAAAATCCATCGAAAGGAGACTCGCCCCCGAAATGCATCCAAATGCATCCCTTATCGGTGAAATTAAATAATCAGTACTCGGCAATGAACCTCAACAGTGGAATTCATTGATCGAGTCCAATTATAAAATTGACTAGTCATACGATTATCTAAACCCCTTCAGGGAGTCGAATTTATCCCAGGAGACTTCCGGTCCATTTTCGACACCTTCGAGGCCCCGGAAGTCTCGAAGCCACCTAGAAAGTGCATTCGATGAAAGTGCATCGGGAATTCCCGCCGGTAGTTGCCCGATGCCACGAGAATAATTGTGCCCATAATTATGAAAGTGGTCTAAGTCATATATTTTTCGTTTCGAAATTACATTGAATTTCCTTTGAAATAATATGCCGTGAAATAACTGATAAACTGATTTTTTTTTTTTCAATTTTGACTCAGACCACTTTCATAATTATGGGCACAATTAACGCCTCGCGGAATTCCGATCGAGTACGCGGCTGCGCCCGATCCTGGGGTATATCCCCAGATCGGTCTGGTTAGAAAGTTGCAATTATTTTATCAGCCGGCCAATAATTAGATATCAGTCGGTATCGGCGACGGGTCCAGCGGTCGGGTGGGATATTGCTCCGGGAGAAAATCGGCCGATCGTGTTGCCGCGATTGGTCAATCCCTCGATCGGCGATCCGATTCGATCCGAGACCTTTGCCGATACCGAGGAGAGAGAGGGACAGAGATCGATCGACGGAAATCGCATTCTCGATAGAGCCGATTGTCATCGGCAATCGTCGGCGCTTTGTCGCCGATTGCGCGAGGAAAATTGATAATAGGAATGAGATCGACTGATCGACCGGGAGTTGAAAAAATCCTGGGATTATTAATTGGCCTTATTTATCCCCACGGGACGTTTACGCCGTATTTATGGGGTATTTATAGGGTAATGAGACAGGCGCCAGGGACGTTATTCACGCCCAAGGATAAGTTTCCTGCCGGACCGAATCGCGCATTCCTGTCGGTCTGGAATCCATAAATTTCGAAATTCCTCCGGGAAAAGGGAATTCCAAGGGAGCGGAGCTTTATCTATGACTCTGGTTATAAATTATCGTTGTCCAGGAAAGCGATTATAGATCTTGGAACGGAAATATCCGCGATCCTTCTAGTCGCGAGGGACACCTCGAGGACCTTTATCGGTGTTAATAATTGCAGTGGTTTTTATTTAAAGTCGCTGAAAGGTCTTTTGGTCAATTGGCCATTGTGGTCAGTTGTTATGGATAGGATAGTGGAATTTATGGGGATTCTTGGTAATGGTCGTACGGGCTAATCGGTCGAACTCTCGGATGATAAGTCGAGCGGCTTCTGATCGAGATGAAGGCATGTGGCGAGCCTGTGGGATTTTATGGGATTTCTGCGTATCTGGATTATACGGAGATATCCATCGGGGGTTATCGGGCCTTTCCCGTAACCGGAAACCACTGTGGGATCGCTGTTGCGCCCTGGGGCTCAGAACGCCTCCTGGTTTCCAGAAACCATCATGGTGGCAGACTGGAGAACGCATCTCCGTGTCTGGAGAACGCGTTGCCGCAAGCCGAATGCATTTCCCTTACCTGTTCTGTTAAATCGCGTCCAAAACTCGAATCAGGAAAAATTCAGTATTCACGGGAATTCCAATTCAGAGTGAAATTGCTATTGTTGCAATGTCAAATTCTAATGGTCTGGAGAACGCGTTGCCGCAAGCCGAATGCATTTCCCTTACTTGTTCCGTTAAATCGCGTCTAAAACTCGAATCACGTAAAAATTTATTATTCACAAGAATTCCAATTCAAAGTGAAATTGCTATTGTTGCAATGTCAAATTCTAATGGTTAAGGTTCTGACGGCAGATTCTAATTAAATCCCGGAAAATGCGGAATTCGTCCGAATTTTAGGCTCGAGTGACCCGGAGGGCTTGAGATGATGTTAAGGGAAAAAAAAAAAATTTAATGCGATCATGGGACCATGGTGATTAAGAATCTCGAGGCTGAGGAGAGCCCTCGGGAACCGCCATGGGAACGCGTTCTCCAAAAGACTGGCCAAGAACAAGCGTCCTCTTATTGCCGCTTCCCGGAAGTCCCGTGGGACTCTGCTCCTCCTTCAAGGTTTCGATCCTGGAAAATCTGCTCTTCCCTTGCTAACTCCACCCTGACGCTTTTGGTCCCACGCTTTGCAATCCGTGAAAAAAAAAAAAGAAAAGAATAGAATTTGAAAAACCATCTCGACCACGTGGGTACTACTTCACGCCAACTGGGGGCGATCGGTAATTCCTTCCTCCTGGGATATTAATTTCTTTGATATTTCTGAAATGTCTCGTTTCATTTGTTTATTACTTCCTTCGCGATGTCAGAGGGTGCGAGGAATATTGATTGGAAAGGAAAGAAACGGGGGATATCTGGCGATCCCATCCGTCCATCGATGGGCCGAGTGTAAACTCTGGAACCGGGCCTGCGAGATAAACTTAATGGCAGCGAAGTGCATTTTGCATAAACAATGGTTCCGCGAAGACTATCTCGTGTTTACGAAGGGGGTCGTTAAGTCGGATCGCTTTCCCGCAGCCTCCTTACGTTCTTGCGTTCTTACGTTCCTACGTACTTCGTATGTACGTACCGAGGCCTCGGCGGTAAACCTTCAGGATTTACGTCGATCCTCCCGAAAGTCCTGACCTCGGGAGCGCATCTTCGAGGGATACCGTCGACATGAATTCTCATCAACGAGGGCTCCCCCCCAAAAAACGAGTAATGAGAAAGAGAGGTCTAGAGACCATCTCCAAGACGCCGAGGAGGAATTATTTCCAATTTTCATTCATAAGAATTCCTGTGACCTATCTATGAAAACGTAGTCAGATAACAGCGGGGGGTTGATATATGCAAATTTTAGGTTATATCATTTTTTTTTTCTTCTTGACGCGAAATTGGGAAATTATACATTTGGGGCACAGAGGGTTCATATGGGGGAGGTATGGGGAGGTGGTTAAAGAAAATTCTGAATTATTATTCTTATTGGATATTATCGCTAGCTGATAACTATCGGAAGGCTCTCGCAAATTGGTTGGTTCCAAGAGGAAGAGTTATTTCCAGCCGCGAGGAATCGGTCCCAGACTTGGTCGCAATAATTTCCAATCGGGAAGGATAACCCCGCGGGTGTCGTCGGACTCGTTCTCGTCGGTCGCTAATCATAAGGCGAGACGGTGAAAACATCAAAAAGGCTCGACCGACAATTGGACGATGCACCCTTGACCTGCAGGGAATGATTCACGAGCAC